ATATACCTTTAACAATTATTCTCATATTTTTTTACTCCATAAAAAAATACAAAAAATCCATATACATAGTATATACAAATAGAGAAATTGTCCTCATAAATTAACAATATAGAATATATTTTATGAATTAAAATAGAAAATGTAAAAATTCTCTCGTTTTTTCCTTTCTTTTTTTACAAAGAAATAGAAAGAAAATATAGAAAATTTATAATTAAAACATCAGAATAAAATTTTTTATGTATTATTTCTTAGAAATAAAATATGACTAGTTCGATAAAAAAGAAAAAAAATCAATGAAATTTTTACTATGGTATATGGTTGTTGCTAGATTTACTCTTTCCCTCCTCCTCCTCCTCCTCTCCCCCGCTTTTTTTTAACTATTTTTCTATATAGAGTATATATATGTATATACTTATATAGTATATTTTATATTATTCATATATGCACACTTTATTTTAATAAATAGTTATTGAAAAGTTATTAATTGAAGATGAATAAAAATGCTTAGCAGATAATAACGCCTATTAGAGATACAAATATCTTATTTATTTAATAATAAATTATATTTTAATATATTCAAGATATGTTATAAATTTTAATCTTTATTTTCGATAATTACCACTATTATATCAACTTTTAACCATCTTCATTCAACTTATACGTTTTGCTAGCTGATTTGACATGCTGTTTCTTTGTAGATTGTTTTCAAAGTTGTAGTTTTAATGGTCACGTATTTAAACTGTTTAGGATAGGGATAACAATAGGATTAAACATTGTTGTTGTCAGTCATGTATAGCTAGAGGTAGGTAGGCGGAAATTTAAGTAGATTATGTAGTAGTGCACAAAGTGGATTAGACGATAGGAGATTAAACATGCTCTCGCACACATGATGGTAATCCGAAAATTTTCGATAAAAATAAGATAATGGAAGGTCTGCTTGCTAGAAACAGTAGACGACACGACAAATTGCGTGTTCACGCCAATAGGTTTCCGGTCGACTGGAAAAAAGCGTTGAAGTTGTTGCTACCACTATAAGAACGACATTCAACGCTGCTTTTTTGAAAAATTCGTTATCTAAACTACATTAGCTAATGGTTTTAGATACATTTTCATAAACATATAACTTTTTAATTATTAAGCTATTATTAAAGTTTTTAAATATTTTTCTTAATAAAAAAAATGGACTAGTTTTTATTAATTTTTTAAAAAAAGCATCCTAATTAAAACTATTATATAAAAAATTAAACAAAATACGTAACTCAAATGAGAGAGAAGAGAGATTGTCTGCATACAAATGTAGAACATGTAAATCACACACTCTATTTGTTGTAGATTTATATATCCTGTATACAGTATATATATATATATATATATATTTATATTTATGGACCATACTACGCAGTCCCCTCGATCCTATGGTTTTATCGCGTGTTTGCGTGAGCTATAGCTATATTTTTATGTACGTACATAATAATAATTTGACAATGATACAAATATTTAAATATAAGTACCTTTATATACTGTAGTAGTAAATATTCTCTCAAGCATAAAGTGCATATATATAACTTGATATATATAAGTACATATATAAATATATATTCGGTCAAACCCCTTTGGATTTTAATCAGACTATTGATTCTTGAAAGACTATACAGTCTACATACCAGACTGTAGAAAAAATCTGTTAAGAAGATACTATTAACAATGAAAGAGGTTTTCAATTTCTTAATATCCTTTACTGAAATCGAATAAAAATACTATAGATAGAAAAATTTCAGAGTATTTATACTTTGAACAGTATCAGGTTTTTCCTCCTTTAATGATTTTTAATTGATAAACAACAATTAGTATTTTATTCTTATAATTAAACTCAATTTTTTCCCGTATTCATTGTTTATTTAGGTCTTTTGTTTTGTTATTTCTTTTTTCCTCTTTTCTTTTCTATTCGCTATAATAAAAGAGATTATATAAATTCTTTCCAGAACTATTAGAGTAAATAAAGTATGTTGTAAAATTTCCATCCATCTGAAAGAAACACATGCCTCATAACCTAATCTTGAGCTCTTAAAGCTCAAGAAGCGTTATATTATCCCATCATCTATTTTACGTGGCGAATTTTGCGTGAACTCTTCCACCTTTTGTACTTAAGCATATTGTCAAAAATGTCAAATTTGAAGGGTGTCTTTAAAAGAATTGGTTGTAATTCTGCTCAATGGATAATAACGACTTGTTTATGTTTCTTTTTTTTTACATGTCCAGATAATCTTGTGTTATCTTTGTCAGAGTTCTTAAGCTTCAGAAGAAGTAAAAGAGAGTGTTAAAGGTTATATATCAAATATATGATAGGTTATATTATATTAATATATAATGCTTATATATATATATTGCATATAAATGATGCAGAAATATAGATAATGATACTTTCTTATCCACTACAATCTTTAGACGGTATAGTATTTAGTTTTAAATACTTATGTATGATATATGATTTACTTCTACAGGTAATTTAGTAGTAATGATAATGATTTTGGTCTATAGACACTTTATGAAGAGAAAAGGAAATGTATAATAGAATAAAATTAATAAAGGTTGCGAGAGAAATTTTTCTCTAGAAGAGAATTGCAGAAGACAAGAATTGATTCTGTTAAGCAAAAAATTCCCAGCGCAAGAAATAACGTACGTGTTTCTTACTGAAAAGCTAATTTTATAAATCCCTTTGTTAAGTATAGATAAAATAAACAAATCTTTTAACCAATCATCAATTATCGCAATACTAGGAAGTAGATTAAGCATCTTATATCTTAAATCCCCATAAAATGTAATGTTCTTAAAAGGGAGAGAAATTCGACGCCAATTTCGCCCTTTATGTACTACAGCACACACTAATGGTCTTGGTTATTGTTTGTCGTTGTTTATTTATGAATTATCCACTCGGTGCGCAGTCATGCTCGACATTCATCGCTCACTATCGGTTTGATTAGAGCAATGACATTTTTTCATTTAACCAAGTCTATGGACCTTTTTAATGGAATTTACATGGATAAAAATTTTTTCAACGAGTGTCTTTTTTTTTTACTATACGAACTTTGCTTTTCTGTTGAGCCGTATTTTCATTTGGATAGTTGTACCTTTAGGAGTTGGTATCAAAACTTAATAGTACAATAAGAAAAGTGTTTTTATCACTTTGTAATACGTATCCAAGCATCCTGTGTGAGTTAATTAGTTTTTTTTAACTATTTTTAGCTATTATATATGGTATAATTAAGTATCCCTTACAACCGAATAGATATTTCGTATAGTCTTAGTTTATTCTCTTGTTCTTTCAACAGAAAATAGCGAAAGACTCTTTCTTAACTATAAAGAGTTTTAGAGTACGCGATTAAAATTGTTACTTTACTCTTAATCTTTTAAAATACATGCTACTATAAGTATAGTATGCGGTTTAAGGGCAATTGAAGAGATCTACAGTGTATATAGTATATATATATATATATATATATATATTAGTATATATAATCAGTATGTTATATATTCTAAGGAGAAGTATAGAAAATTCAAATTACTTTTTAGGCATTTTTCCTCCTATTCCCATTTCCCTCTTTCCTACTCTCCCTCTTTTCCTCTTCCACAAAAAAGATGACCGTAGATAACAGAACTACTCATCCGTCACATCGATTAACCTGATGGTTCGATTTTTATCTTGTACGTATATAAATACAATAACTAGCCAACCGTTGATAATATATTTATATGTTCATATTTATCAGAAACTTATCATATATTAATGAATGGATTGGAAACATTTTTGAAGCCTATATATTTATAACTGAGCAACTAACTCTAAATATTCTTTTTCACTTTTATAGCAGCAATCGAATATACTCGATGGTAAACGAATCCTTTAGGGCTAAGATTGTGATTGGAATTTGATTATTTTCCTCCCACTTTGTATCAAAGAAATAGAAAGTATAAGTTGATCCGTATGCTTGATGTTCTTTCATTGCTTCTTCCAAAGAAATCAAATGATCGATAGGGAAATTAAAATAAAAAAAAAATCACCAATACCCTAAATTCTATGCTATTGTATAGAATAGATTATATATATAAAGTATACAATTTTCTTCTCATCTTTAGACCTCATCTTTACTTTATTTTTCTCCTTAATTCTCCTGCCTTCCATTTCTCTATCTGTATATCTATAGTAAAATATGTTTGTTATTTTAGTTTTATGTTAGCATCCAAGTAAAAATAATAAATAGCTTTATTGTACTTTTCAAAGAGAGATTACTCTAGAAGGCTATTCTATAAGCTATAAAGATAATTTGAAAAAAATAAAAGGGACAAAAAGGGAGCTGTATAAGGTAAATTCTTTTTAGATTCTTAGCCAACTCTCACTGGGATCTAAAATTGATTGAATTCGATTGTTTAATCATAGTCTTTAAAAAGAATTTTTTCACGTCAATAAAGTGAACAAATTTCAATTGTATAACATAAAAAACCTGACTTGTTCGTAGTATTTAAACACGAAATTAGCTAAATAATGATTTTAAGTCTATGAGTAGAAGATTAGTATTTTGTAAAACTTTTCTCTTTGCTTCCCTGTCTTATTCAAATGTTAAAAGACTTTCAAACTCTTTTTTCACTTTCTACGTTTTTCTTTTTTCTCTTTAGAAGACATCTTTTACTGAGATTAATATGGCAGTAAAAGATAAGAAGAGTTTGTCTCTTTTTAATAGGTTAAAAAAAGGCCAAGTTTTTTTTTTATCTTGTTTGCTTTACTTTAATTATAATGAGAACTAATGACCTTATTATGGTTTTATTAAATGAATAAATAGGTATTTTACATTCATTTTACTATATGTTATAAAAGTAATTATATAATAGAGTACTAAAGGGAAACATTGATTAAAAGAAAAGTAATTTCTCAGAAAACCTTTTGTTTAACTAATACCTTAATAAAATAAAGTATAAAATATGAATAAGAATCATAAACAATATGTATTGAAATAGAAAATATAATAATTATAATGAAAAATATTCAGGAATAAACATTAGAAACTATAGTTTTCTTTCTTTTCATTTCTTTTTAAAATTAGCGAACACCTTGCCAGCTTTGACAAACAAAAGCTCAAATCGAATGCTTAACGATGTTTATTAAGAAAGCAAGAGCGGATTAGATTGAGCGAAAAGTGTCACAACTTGTTTAAATGACTGGTGTACATTCAACTGGCGAATCATAGAACACGTAGGATTAAGGAAATATCAATTGTTGAATAAGCGAAATGTCACTAACGCTGTAGTCAGCTGTGGAAAGAAATCTGCACTTTACTTTATAATTGACTCTTATACGAACGCCTTCACTTGAAAGTCTCAGACAATTTTCTCAAACAACACGCGTTTATCACTACTAAACGGCACAATTTACAGTATTTATCACATATCATCCTGTTAAATCTGCATAAACTGTTGTCGGACAACACGTTGAATAGATACATTGCTAATGTGACGTTTCAAACTTTCCTTTGGATCAAAGGATTGAGGATTGACAGGAGATGATCATTAGGCGTTTACCTCAAAACTTTGGTCAAAAAGGGAATTGTTTAATGAGCATAAATGAATATTGATAAGCGTGAGAAAGACTCTTACAGTCTACATCTGACTCTTTCGACCTGTCTGGGTACCGTTGTCTATTTTTGTATCAAGTTGAGTAATTTCTGTCATAGGAATCTCCGAATTGACTTTGCAAATTAGATTTTTGAGAATTTGTCGAAATCGTTTAGAACAAAAGCAATAAATTGTAAAATTAAGAGAACTGTTAACAACTACCATAAAGTCACTCAGTCGTTCGTAAAAATAGTAGGGCATTGGGCACTCCTTCTGTTCATCTTCTAAGAAGCTGTGTAATATTTGTGTCGCTAACGCCGGTGTTTGGCAAACGACAAAAACAAGAACAACAACAATGAGTACAAGAGTAATGTCATCTTCACTTCTGCTTGTATCCGAATTGAGTAGTTGTGCCCGTTTACGTCTGGCTTCTCGCAAAGCCCTAATCAGACGATGGTTGAGAATAATTAGTGTCGTCAGAGGTACAAGAAACATAACTAAACAATAGATGCTATTGGCATAAACAATTTTATATACGTGATTATCAGCCATTGACGTTCGAGCAGAACGAGTTGAATTTTCAGTACTAATATAATCATATTCAAAAAATCGAGGCAGATTGATGGCGAATGAGAGGAGAACAATAAGACATACATACCGCCGTGCATGTGTTACTGATCGAATCCTAGACACTTCATACGGTTTGCAGACACTTACATAACGATTTACAGTAACAAGTAGAGTAAGATAGATAGTAGTTGTCTCTGATACAAGAGCAAGAGGGTAAACGTATGCTCCACAGAATGATAGAAGAGTATTAAGAGAACTGGGTGCCTCTCCTGGGTAAAGAATATAAATTGCTGTTGAAGGTACGACCCGTAACAATACTGCAAATCCTAGGAAGAACGTATCAGCAACTTCCAAAGATATCAGCAAAAAGGGAGTAGCCGTTTTACTCCTATCTCGGTTGAGACAGATCATTGACAATATATTTCCTGTAAAACCAAATACTATCAATATTCCCATTCCAACTGATTGTATCATAAAATCAAAAGTTACGCAGGCAGTAAAAAACTCTGTCTTATTTGAAGACATGCTCTTCTCTTGGAAAACTGTCCCGCTCAGTGCCAACAGCGCCACCTGATGGAGCGAATCTTAATGAATGTCGACCTCTATTCTCGTTCCTAACGAACATTGACCTGAACTATATAAAAAAGGTCAAAAGACTTTTCCAATCAGAGAAGTATTGTTAATTTATGAAATTAGTTATAATGCTCTAAATTATAAATAGATATCTTAAAGTTCTACTTCATGAACCATTGTTCAAGGAAGAAGATAATTGTCTATAAATAGCAAACGAAAATTATATGGATATATATAATTTATATGTATATATATATATATATATATACTGTATATGTATGACTTATATTTCTATAAATATACTTTTATTCTCTATTGTTTTTTTGTCTCTTTTTCTTCTTTTTTATTCATTTTCTTTCTCATCATTTTGCTATTCATATTCTTCCAAAAGTTTTAGCCTTAGAGATAAATGCTCTCCCTATACGCTAGATCCTAGAGTATGACAAACCCGGATGATAATTGTTAAAACGTAGGATGTAATTTTCAAGAAAACAGAAATTGTTTTTCTCGTTTTTCTGATATATATATATATATAAATTAATATATAGTTATAGCATATAACATATATTATACTCTAGCAAAAAACAAATACAATAGTAGCATGTAAATTTTCATTTTAATCCAATAAATCATAATCAAAACTGGTCATACAAATTCATGATAAAAACTTCTTTTCTTTTATTTCTAAAATTGAAAAAAAGCCAATTGTAGTATTTTTTTATCTTAAAAACTCGATAAACACGCTTGGAGAATCTCAGAGGAGGATTTGAGGTAATTTGAAAAATGAATTCAATTTCAATGACATTTAAACCTTGTTCAAGATTCCTAATTGTAATCAAATTTTAAGCTCTATCTGTTAACACTTAACATATAGGATTAGGGAATAACTGCATATAGCGAGCGATAGAGAGACAGGAAGAAAAGCAAAGATAGAGAGAAAGAAAGAAAAGAACGATGGAAGGCTTATGAAGAGAAATTAAAACGACTATTGTAAAAATAATTTAAAAAGAAACTCTTAAATTACAAATAGTTTTGATTACTGCAAAAAAATTTGCTTGTTAAGGCAAAAGATAAAATAAGAATCTATCTAAATTCTATATGCTTACTCAAAGTTCTCTATATATTCCATGGCAAAATACAATATGAATACTTTTATCAATCACTTAAATATTAACTTGTATTTGCCAGTTTGACATATTCTATAATTTAGCTTGGCTACATATAAAGTAAAAGTATAGAGAATCATTTCATTATTTGGTAATAAAAAAGCGTACTTTCTATTATATGTATTTTATATAATATATATACTATATATAATTATTCCGACAGTTTATAACATATTGTGTAATGGCCCTTTAGAAGAGATTTTGAACATTTAGTCCTAAGCTCTTTATATGTGCAAATAAACGAAGCGTAAAATTATAATTTTTCCCCAGCTTTTACGATTCTCCAAATTTTTTAGGCCTATATATATATATATAAATTATATATATATATTTATATTGTAAATATTATTTTCTATATTTTTTCAACAATGCTAAGGAAGTCATTATACAGTTAACTGTTTTTTAATGCTATATAGAGAAGCGTAATCAAAGAAATTTGTAAAGAAACATTCTATATTTTCTAGTTGGTCGACGATTAGTTTCTAGAAAGACTGAAAAAAAGAAAAACGAATAATACTAATGCGTAAAAAGAAAAGAAAAAGAGAAGCTACTCTTTGAATAAGAACTTCTTTTCATCTACTTAGTTAAAATCGCCATTTTTTCAACAGATGGCGCCCATTTCATAAATAAAATGCAAAATATTTATAATGAGTATTAAATAATCATATAAAGTTACCTGAAAATAGAATATATTGTATATTTATGTACATTTATATGTATTTATGTATTTTTAACTAAAGGAATATAAAATATATTCTAAAAATAGTTCTTAACTGACTCGGCTTTTATGAGGTTAGCTGTAGAGAGAAACTTAATCGTATATATAATTATAAACACAACAAACGAGAGAAGACCAATGATATAGTATACGAAGCGAATTATAAACATAGAAAATGTATTGGAATCAAACTAGATAAATCAAAAATGTATTCTCCAAGGGACTTTTCTTTGAAGAGAATAACTAACTGGACACAGTTCTTTTTTTTTCTAGTTAACTCGTTAATAAGTATATAGATGAAATCTGACACTTTTTCCGCTCTCATCTTTTCATCATCAAATATTCTTAACATAATAAAAGAAATTTTTTCCTTATTTTCATATAGTATTTACTTAGAATTTATAAAATAATGAAAATCATTTTGTGCTTTAGTCCAAATACTAAAGAAATGTTTTTTTTCCTTCTCTCTTTCAATTTATAGAGTGAAATTGTAAAATAATAATTAATTAAGTTATTTAATTAAATAAAAGAGAAATCAATAGGATAAATAGAAAAGAAATTATTTCAATATAATAATAATATAATATATAAGGATTTTATCTGACAGACTTTTCTATGTTTGATCATATTTTTAAAATTGGAAAGAAAAGGAAACTTGGCTTAAGATAGTAAAGAAATGATAGAAAAACATGGCCAACAAATAGAGTGTAGGAGAATTCTAGTGATACTTAAGGTTTTTCTGGAAGAATGGACCAGTTTCAGAGAGCTTTAATGATCGCCAATGTTCTTTTGATCTATCTTCCTCCTATTGAGCATCTTAATGAACTCTGTCAAAAGTCAAATCGGAAAGTAGCCATAAAAACGCTTTATAGCCTGAAAGTTTCTGGTTTGTGCAAGATACTTTGCTTTGAATTAACCAGTTAATGACTATTTTTTTTATCAATGTTATTACAATTAGTAAAAATCATATCCATCACTTACAAAAAAGCTCATTAAAAAAATATTTGGCGCCACTGATTGGTTAAGCGAAAACTGATTTATCCCTCTTTCTTCTCCATCTTTTAGCTTCTCGTTGGTGCTAAAAGGGGGTCTGTTTTCTTCTCTTGCATCCGATTATATTCGTTATTTTAAATCGATGACAAATCAGGATACAAATATATAATAAAATCTTTTACTAAGTAATTATAGAAGGTAATATAGTAAGTGACATTATATCTATTCCGAGCAGAAGTGATTTCATTTTAAAGACTTTTGAGTACCTATATCGTAAAGACAATTATATTAATACTTATTAAAATATATACAAAAGAGCTATTAAAAATAGAACAAACACTAAAAAATACTCGGTAAAATGTAATGATTGATTGAAAACTCTAAAGATTATGACTTATCCGCTCCTCTATTTCGTTTTGGTTTAAGTAGGCAGAAAGAAAGAAACAAAAAAAAAACTGAAGTTTCCAGAAAAAAAATAAAAAAATATAAAAAAAAAACATTAAAAAAAAAGCCAAAATCCATAATCCAATTTATTTTTTATATTTACTTTACACTCACTATAAATATATATTCGAGATTAAAACGCAAAGATCTGATACAGTCCATATAAAAAATGGCAAACATAATATCCAGAGTATATTTAATAGCAAAGAAGAGTATTTAAGATTAATTTTTAGTTTGATAAGGCTATTTAAGTAGTTGATTGTTCTTAATTAACATTATAATAATTACCATCGAAAGCCTGTGGTTTCATTTTTCTACCTATTTTTTTTCATTTTCCACTAATATGTTTTTCTTTTTTTAAGGGAATTAATTAAAAACAAAAGTATAAACAAAATTTTTTCATATTCGATAATGCTATAGTTCTTATACAGACAAACACGAGCATGAAGCAAGCAAATAAAACAATAGCATACTATCGTAGATGTAATGCAAACTAACAAATAAACACAAATATATAAAAGAAAACAAAAATATTACAACGCTAATTTATATATATATATATATACCGTATATACTATATATATATATATAATGCAAACGTTAAACATAGAAACATTAGGCATTTGCTTCTTTGGCATTAAATGCTTTATTTCTATACTCGACTGATGTATTTTCACATTTATTACTTTCTTGTCCCATTCCGCAGCCACTATGCTTATGCTCTAATCGAGCATGTATAATTTCTTTTCGTATCTCTTTTTCGTATTGTTTGAGTAGGCGAATATCACCAGGAACATCCGGTATTAGTACTGATATTAACCAGGTAAGAAGAAAGACTGTATGCTGCATAAATCATTTGTTATTCTATTTCAATTAATCAACAGTTTTTCCTATTAAATACCTACCTCGAAAACTATTACCATGCATACTCTTGCTAATAAAATCCTCCAGTACAAAGACGTCTTGAAGTAACGATCATTTCCCATTGTCTTTGTAGCATCATATCCGTAATAGCTTGAATACCTACAAAAGGTTATATTAGCCGTATTATCTTCACTATCAATCTTCCAACGAGATGCATCTGGTCCAGTTTCGTTTCGGATAAAGTCAGAAACGTTAAAATAAGCCAATTTATTGTCAACGTAACCAGTTAAATTACTATTGGAATAAATGTAAACAGTTCTTGGAATAAAGTCAGTTGTAAAGGCAATGATAAAAGCCTGTTAATAATAGAATAAATACTAATATATCGATTGTTTTATAGTTTAGGTAAAAGTAAACTTTAAACTTTACATTTGATAGAACAGCAATAAATGTAAGGCTTTTTAGAATACCATACCAGGCACCAATACTTTGTGACTTATGAGCTACTGGTCTTTTCCAAATGCAAACAAATTTGATGGCGTCCAATCGAATTTCAAAAAGATTATTAATAAGTGCAAAGAGTGGAGCTAGTGGAAACGCTGACACGAATATTGTGACAAAACCAAATTGAATGACTAAATATTTGTTGTTTCGAGTATAGTAAGGAGGGAAAATGAAAAGAAATAATAAGTAAAAATAGAATGTTATAATTATTTAATTAAAATTCCATTATCATATCTTTAATTACCCATTTCTAAGTATTCATCAAACATATTATCTGGTGGATCAAGCAAAGGACGATCAATTTCCCATCTTGCATTTTCTGCTGGTTTGTGCTCCGTCTTACCAATCTTAAGCCTGAGATATTTGCGAACGAGACTAATGAAAAGAACAATTAAGTTTAACATTAGATTATTATATAATTTAATATATTTACGGTATGGCAAGTTCTTTTACATTATTAAAAATTTGTTTTCCTCCCATTATTATAGCTAATTGAATAAACAAATCTACAAAGCAACCAGCTGGATCGCATTCGTCTTGTCTCCATTTGCCCAGAAAGTAACCCTCCTTATCTCCTGGTTTGCCAGCAAATCGTCCTTTGAAGAATGCGATGTAGAAAATAGAACCGTAGTAGTTAATGAACTGGAAGAGAAACATCTTTAGCGTAAAACTGTTGTCATATTGGGTATTCGTTTTTGGTGCCTCTGTTGATGGATAAATATGTTATGTTTATGAAATTCTATATTATCAATATAAATCATATTACCTATATCTGTCAAATACTTTGCCAATTTTCTATATATCTAGATTTAAAAAAACGATATGTTTTCATAAAACATGCCTTTAAATATGTTTTTATATGATCTAAAGGAAATAAAACAACTCACAAAACTTAGTAATTGAATAGCTATTAAGTTGATTAAAGCAGCTGTAATTGTTGTTATAATGCTAGCCCTTTCCTTAATTAGATTGTGGGGAAGTGAGTACAAGACAGCAACAAAAATTATTCTATAAACGATAACTCCAAATATAGTAGCCAATACTAAAGTGATCTATTTATAAAATGAAAAAGCAAAGTTTACTTTAATATACAAATCATGTTATTTTTTCTAAGAGTAATTAACCATAAATAGAACCACAGACAGAGAAAGGCATTTTCGTGGACCTTTGATGGTCCAAGGTATAAAGGCTTCCATTTTTTTTGTTATAGGATTTTCCCTTTTCTGATTATTCAATTCATATTCCGGTCTCATTTTCTGAAAGTGCGAAAAAGTATATTAGGTATCATTAGAATTTAGTTTTTCAAAACTATTCCATTACCTCTTCTTCTTCGTAATGTGAAACATCCCAATCATACTGTACTCTCTTTTCAGCTCTTTTCCAGAATTCCAAGAAAACAGTAGCTGAAGTAGATAATTAAAATGTACGGTAAAATGAGAATTTCTTCTCACTCTTTGTCTAAATAAAGAAAAAGCCATATATACTAACCCCAAATTGACATAATTAGGGCAAACGCCAAAGTAGAATTATTGTCAAAAATGTACGACAATCTTGAGTTTAAGCAGCTATTCTTTAGCCTTGTAAATGTGCATCCTCTATCGCATTTTGGACACAATATAAGGTTACCCAATCTATCTTCTTCGCAAATATCTTTACTGTTAAATAGTTATAAATATAATTAAAAATAGATAGAGAGAAATATGGGAGTACTAGATACTATATACATTTATATATATATATATATATATACTGTATATAATAGTATATCAAACGGTATATATGATATATAGTATATACAGTATATACTATATATATTTATATGATAAAAGCCTTTATATAAATATTTATATAATTCATTTTTTCTTACACTGGTTCTTGTCTAAAGAATGAAGCAACACCATAAATGAAGCATACAAAACCAATAATGGCAACTGGAATAAGCATCCCAGTATAAAATCCAAGCCAGCAAAAATAAATTGATATTTTCTCTCCAAAATACTTTCTCACCAGATCTAGTGGTTGAAAAGTGAAAATCCTCTTCCAATTAGCCCAATAAAGTCGTAAGTTTCTCCTGTCTTCATCATCCGACTCAGCTCTCTTTAAGCTTTCATGAAGTGGATAGCAAGAACGATAAATGTCTAATTTTACTAATTTATCAATGCCTATTAAGGAGATAATCATAATTTATCAAATAATTATTTAATTATTTGAATTTTCAATAATACCAAATGTCATACGATTTCCTGTGCTTTCCTCATCATCATCATCATAATCTGGAAATGCTGTCTCAGCAAGAACACTATCAACTATTAAACTCCTTTCGGCATTTGTAAAAAACTCATCTTGATTTTCTAATTCAATGTCAAATCTATGCATGAAAAAAGTAGAGAAAAAAATGAGAAAGGAGGGTTGGCAAGGAGATATGTGAAAATAGAAATAATTAAATACAAACTGTTCTATGTCATCATTGTCAAAGGGAGCTGTAAAATAATTTGGTTCACACTCTATATCTTCTGGAAGTGGTGGAAAGCCAGTAAAATTTCGGCATGAACAACTCAAACAATTTGTATTTAACGCTTCATCTATTCTATTAGAGCTATGCTTTAGCCTTTTTTGTAATGCGAGCTTCTCCGCTCCTTCCAATAAGCATTTCCACGATGCATGGATCTTTATATATTTATACTTTCGTCTGTTGTAATCCTTTATAAAAAATAAAATAATAAGATTGAGCCAAACACAGGACATTTAAGTCTTTGTAAATATGTAAACAATGTGTTTATACTGTATTTGAAAACTGTAAAAATCTGTCGGGAGAAAGTGAATATTTGCACATACCTCAGAGTCCTGTTGAGGGAAACGTTTAATAGTATTACTTAAACATAATATTATACTCTATAATACAAACTGGTTCAGGGTCATACTCTAATTCTAATCCTTTCGAAATAAGGTTCTTCTCAAATTCTTTCCTTTGCTTTGTCCTTATATTATAATCTTCTTCCGATTTTGGATAATCTTGATAAACTATAATATAATCGATTCTCTTGTGTTCGCTTCTGAAGAACATTGAACTGTCCTGGTTATGAGAAGATAATTGAATTAGAGAGAAGAACATGCCATTACGTTTAGAAAACAAAAACAATTTTTGATATTTAAAATCATCAGAATTTCATAAGAAAAGAGATCAGAGCAAACGAAAAATTAGAAAATCTGCTCATAATCAAAGACATAATAGTTTTGTTTGTAAAAGAATTAATGTTTTATATATACATAAATAAATAAATATATATATACATATATATTGATCGCTTAACAAAAGAATAAATCAGCAAACAATAAAATATTTCTCACTTATGTTATTTATAAAATACGAATCTAGTACGATATATTAACATTAATCGATGAACGATACCGGGGTAAAACTGGGCGTCTTTGGTTATACACATTTTAACCTATAATAAACAGGTATTTTAGATAATTATGAATAAATATTATGCTATTTTTAGAAAATTTTAGTATAAACGACAAAGAGTTGTTATTTATTTTAATAAAATGACGGTTTTCTAAAAAAATTTTTTGTTTAGCCTGGTAGTGTTGTACTGAGCTAAATATATTCGCATCCCATATACTGTACGTGATATCTACCCGTTCGTATGATACGTCCTCTAACTCTGTCATCCTTATCCAGTCTTATAATTTATCTAGTAGTCGAAATCGGCGTTTATTCTGTCCAAAAAAGCACACAGAAAAGCGCTGGTATAGGTAAGAGCACAATAAAAGTAGGCCTAATACGATTCTCTGCTGCTATTCCGTGCTATCGACCTGTTTGGCTGCGATTCTCGCGCCATCTTCCCCCTCTAGAATTATATAAACTGTATATTAATGTGTAAAACACTACAATACTATACCATTTGTTGGAGGTTTCTTTCCTAATATTTTCTTTTGTAACATTTTAGGCCTAATAGCTAGATAAAAGTATTCGTCATTTTTAATATACAAACACTGCATACACAGTATATTACAGGTATTGGTTACTAGCAGAAGTATATACTATATTCTATACTCTATATCAAATCTATATATATATAACAAAATATATAAATAGTGTATGGGGTTTATATATACGGATACATACTGCATACAGTATGTTTATATGCAGAAATTTATACTATACACAGTATAGATACGTAGACGTGGGTTTATTTACTGATTTTCTTACCGTAAAGGGGTCTTTTTGACTTTTATCGCTAAGAAGAAACTCTTCATTGTCCATTTCCGGAACAATACTATATTCCAGTAAAGATTAAGCATATACGTTCAATATCAATACAAAGTAAATATAGCATTTACTCATCATTCAATTGTTTGCTCTTTTGGTCTAACAGTAATAATAAAATTTTACTATTCAGAAAAAGAGTACTATATTACAAATAGCAGTGTTGCTACCATGTAGATATTTGAGTGTATATTGCGTAATGTAAGCATTTTTTTACATTCTATGTATAAATAGATCTTTAATCAAATCATTCATAGTTTTATTTTATTATCATACTACAGTAGAAATCACTAACTAATCCATCAACTATGAGAATTTTATCAATTTTTTTCATCAATTATCTATTATAATCTCGTTATCTTTTATAAGCTCTCAAGACTAGTCCGCTATCATTCTTTGTTTTCCCATGTTTTGTCCAGCTTGTGATGCTCCTTTATTTTGTCCTGCTTGCAGGCCTATTTGAGCGTCTCTTCCTTGTCTGATTTGTTCTTCAGAGAAATTTCTTTTGTTCTCAGATGACATTTTCGGTCCTGTAATTGTTTATTTGATTATTGTTTTTGTATAGAAGATTGGCTTATTGTATTTAAGGAAAAAAACATATATTTCATTTTATACCAAATTTAGGACCGTCATAGTCTTTCTTGTTTGTTGCTACTCTTCCAAGAGCTTGTAGAGACTTTATAACTTGTTTTATATTACGATTTTCAAAGAGATCCACTGTTTGAAAGATTTCATCATCAGGCATGCCAAACTTTTTGGCAGCTCCTTGAAAAGCAGCAATATTTTCGCGAAGTTGAAAAGCAGATCCTTTCTTATTCACCCTTTTAACGCTACCAGGCAGCAGAACATTCATTAACCTAAAAGTCAAAATAAAAAGTTACCTTTTACCTCTCTAGTAAATAAATGACTTAAATCAACTTACTCGCAAAGAATAAGGCCATCTTTCAATACCGGCTGAAATCCTGGTGAACGATCAATTGAACGCTTAATAACAGCTTCAATCCAATCGAAAATTTCATTTTTTTGTTCTTCTTCTTCATTCTATAAAGAATGAAATTTTAGTTTTCGTATAGTATTTCTTAAAAGCGTTACCATAATGGGCGCGCTTATCTAACAATTTCTTTCATTTTTCATTAGAAATTTAAGGCTGATGAACTATTTTGTCTCAATAAAAAATAATTCTACAGCATCTTCTCTTGGGAAACTTTTATTTAAATTATTTTAAAAATTCTTTGGATACTAAGCCATCCTTATCTTTATAAACAGAGATATAATAATGAAAACTTACTTTCTTCGAAGCCATCGTTCTTTTCAAGAAAGCAAAGAGATTTTTGCTAAAAAGTAAATGGAGATAGTTCTAAAATAAACTGCAAATTTTGCAGTTCTTCCTATTGGCCAATCACCGCTAGTTTCCTGTTATTTTGGTCTCAAAACATTCTGCACAGATGTTTTTATAAAGTTGAAAGGTGGTAAAAATAAACGCCTGAGAAAGTCTAGGCCTATTTGCAGAATAAAAGCTACCAAACTCTGATTTGTAATCAGGAAATCTTTGAGAATAATTAGAGTAGTTTGTGCCAAAAAAACTGGGTTAATCTTATATTAGTAGATTCGTATACAAACTTGCGTACGAGTTTGATCTTACACGGCTGTACTCAAGAACGGATTTATCTTATCTAAGATCATCATTTTTTTAATTTAGCTTTTCTATCGTTTGTTTAAGAATATAGATTTACTTCGTAAATCTAACTTATTCTTATCTGTCAAAATTTCTTTAAAAAAACCTCATTTCTCAGTAGAATATGAATATTTAGGTTAGCGCACCATCGCGTACTCTCAGACTCCTAAATGGATGTAGGTCAAATGTTTATTTTCGGATGATCAAAAATAAACTATGCTTTTTCTGTTTAGCGCATGATGTAATATTGTAGATTATAGCTATTATTTAAGCTATTCTAAGATTAAAAATAACAAAAAGTGATAATTTCCGGGAATTTATTGGTTAAATAGTGAATGTTTCTTTAGAAAAACTAGAGTAAACATTTTAGATTTATTTAAACCTGAGCTAGTAACTGCAACTGTAAACTATAGCAAATCCATACAAGTGCTTATTCCTGTAGGTGGCCGAAGCAACATGATCCAAATGACGATCCCAAAAACAGCGACTGGAAAATTTTATGACATCGCTAGATTCCTGACCAATTAATACTTGAACAACTAATTTCTTATTCATATCTACACTGCCAGTTTGTTGAATACGATTTTTGATCATCAAGCATATTTCTCCTTTGATAAATAAAGATAAATAAATAAAAGTAAAAGTTTATAATCAAATATTACCCATAAACGCTAGTTTGTTTGTAAAGATAACTACATTATACTTCCCTTACTAACCTGTTAGTTTACAACATCTAGGTCCGTCATACTTCATACTATTGAGATAAGCGTCAAGAACGTCTCTAATGACGTCTTCAATGCCATTCTTATCCCAGACTTTCTTTTTTTCAGTTCCCATTTCAATTTTTTTTAACTTATAATCAAATGTTTAGCATTTTTTTCGGTGTAATCGATCGCATTCGTGCCTTAACTACATTCGAAATCTTTTTTGTATTAACTATAGAAATCCAATCGATTATTGGGCCTAGAATATGGTTGCTTTTGTTGTTCTACCAAAAGTCCCTTTATTGTTCTATGTAAATGTGTATTCGGGAGGAAAAATACTTCATTCAACATTTATAATTAACTAGTTGATAAATGTATATTAATTGTAAACATATGTCCTTCTAAAACATTCTTTTCATTGAGAAGTGTTTCCTATTTCTATTAATTTACTCCTATTACCAATAGTTTATTGATTTCTTATATTATAAATGAATTGATCAAATACTACAAGTTATCGTCCACCAAAGTCAACAACTTGACATTACAATAATTCTTATTTTTCGCCGCTGTATAATCTTTTCATTTATCCCATTTTATTTTTTATCTTTAGTTCTATATTCTCCCATTCTCTTTCCACAACCATTCATTATTCTCTGCTGCTGTTACTTTGACATTAAAATATACCAAAAAAGAGGAATTCTCGCTGAAGAGAAAGCGAAAAAGTGCAAAAAAAAAAATAAACAGAGTTGAATATTTGAATTCCAAATTTTCACACGTAATTAAAAAGCTGAATAAATTCCTATTAGTTCTGACTTTGTTATAAACAAACTATATGTATGCAGTATAGATAGTGTGTGTAATGTGTACTATTAATAATAGTACAATATACTTACCTGCATTCATTTTTGTCTAGTTATAGAAAAAATAATTAAATCTGCTTATTTAACCTTTTAAAAGTTATTAAGAAAATATGTAAGGATTCTATTAGAAAGAGAAAAGTATATATATATAAAGAGTGTTTAAATAGGCGTAGAATATTCTGATGTATACAACTATAATTTATAAATATACTTTATATAAATAGTTTATATATTATTCATTAAGAATCAATATATTAAAGTAAGATAGAACCAAGTCTTAATACATCTTATAATACGTTAATAAAAATGATACAAAAAATAGAGCCACAGTTGGTAAATAAGACAAAATAAATAAAATTCAATATATTCCTCTTCTAGGATATCTGTATGTTTTAAAAAAATGTTACACAAGAGGCTCCTATCTTTAAATTAATAAATTTATTTAGGATAGCCTTACATTCTACAAAAAAATAGAGCAACTTTAAAGAAGTTTCTCGCTTGGTTAATGGACGAAAAATTAATTAAAAAAAAAGGCTTATACTCTCTCACCACCATTAAAGGATAAAATATCCTCCTCGTAATGAAATTACTTGTTCCCAGTCCCATAATATATTTTATAACCACAGTATACGATATTTTATATATAATATATACTGTACATACATATACTAATATATATATATATATATATATATATATATATATATAGTATAATCCCTCTATGGCACACTTATATATTTCGCTTATTGGTCTTTTTTATTATTTCTTCATTAGCCTACAGATGGAGCTGTATGACAAAATTTATTTCCAGCAGAAAAATTGAGCAATTGGTTTATCAATTGAATATTCAATTCTAATGATAGAAAAGAACATAATGATCAATTTTCGCAGTGTATTGCACAATAAAAACAAAGAGAATGAAAGAAAAACATAAAAAAGATTATTTTTATTCGTTTATTCGAATAAAAATCAACTTTGTAATGTAAGAACAGAAAAGTAAAAGAAACAATAATTCCTTATTTCTTATATTATCTTTTATAGTTGTAGAATAGACTCTATTGGTAAAGCTATTTATGTATATTATTCTTTCTAGAATGATATTTTCAAAGATATCTGCTTCAAGCATAAAAAGAAAGGAGGGGAAGGAAGTGAAAAAGTTCAAAAAAAATACTTGAATAGGTAATATAGACAAATACTACTGGTAAGTAAACTATATCACAAAATTACTTTAGTAAATTAAGTAACCTAAGGCAATCATGCTAAATCATAGTATTTTTTTTGTGGATAATTAATTATCTTATACGCCTATTTTTCTAAAGATAAGGAAATTTAGTACTTTTATACCATATGTCGTAATTACTTATACATACGTATACATCAAGTATATATAGATATATGAATATATGTAATATTTAGTTCGTAATTCCGTATACTTTTATATTTATTGAACGCCTTTCCGACTTGTTTTGCCAACACAAACAAAGAAATAACAAATCGTCGACATAATGTTAGTTCAGTCGGCAACTTTCAACCGTTCGTTTAGCAGCTAAACGATAATCTCTTATGAAAAATTGTATAATTTGATTTTTGATTATTTATTTATCACTTCAAAAAGTATGACAACGTCCGATTTTTACGCTAAAAGACGGAATATCCTGGAAGATAGATTACTAAATAATACTCTGGAGAATATTGAAAAAACTAGAATTCGTTATAAAGTAACAATTTATTTTCTTAATTTATTCTAAAGAAATAATTAACTAATTAACTAATTTGCATATTAAAGAAAAGTTAACTATTTTTTTTTTAACCTTAAAAATTTCATTTCTTAGAAAAAAGCTGAAGAAATCTTCTTAAATTTAATGCTAAACCTATTTTATTCAATAGATATTTAACAATCGCTATTGATGTTAAATAACGCATAAAATATTTTTTAACAGTTAATGAACAAAAGTATTACAACAAGTTGAAAAGCAGGTTTTATATAATCATTAAGGCTTTTACAGTATTTTTTAATCCAAATGTTTAGAACTTTTAAAGTATCTTAGAAAGAGTCGAGAAGAAAATCAGTGAAATTTGAACAAGTTGAAATTAATATATAAGAATAAAATGCTATTCTTTTTTATTTTCTAGTTAACGTAAAATCCTTCAAACACGTGTATTTGACTTTTTTCTTATTTATATTTGGCTTTTAATAGTTTGACAACCCTGTCTGAAGAAGATTTTGTCAAATATGTTTATTATAATAATACCCACTTAAAATTAAAATCTATATACAGAAACACTCAACTTATCTTTTAGATGTTTAATTAATGTACAGTTTTTTCTTTTAAAAAACTCTCTTTTTACTTTTCAGAGCGGGCACGAAAAGCAGGTTAAAGCTATTTTCGATCACTACTGCTATAGCCGTCAAAGCATTGGACTTAGATATCACTTTCGACGACCTCATACAGCATCCGTTTGCCAAAGAGACCAATTGTCATCCTACAGAGATGGTAGAGTTAATTTATTTAGAAATAAGAGTGTGGCCTGGATTGAACCAGCTAGAACTGTAACTGATTTATCTCTGATAAGAAGGAAAAAAGGTATCAAATTATATTCGGAAGATAGCTTGAAAATGAAACAATACAGATCTGCTTCATGTTTTGGTGATCGGGAGATTTTAGATAAAAAAGTTAGTGACTTTTTAAAGAGATTGGACGAGTTCATTACGAAAAATCAATAGAAGAAATTATGTATACAATACATATACAATACATAAAAAGGGAAGAGTCCTCTAAAAAAAATGCTCAGTAATTTTTATATCTCATTCAAATTAGAATATAATATAGTTCCCTTTGACTGTTAATAGTGCACTGTTTGTTTATACTAAACTGAAAATTGTTCGATACATGTTCAATAATTACTGCAGTTACGATACAGAACAATTCTGTTGACAACCGTTCATTTTTTTTACCCATGCAGCGCATTTTTCCCGCCCACTCCTTTTCCTTTTGATCATTTTCCCCCTTTAAAATCTTAATTTTTCTCTCCGTCCTATCTCTATTCTACACCCACTCTACTATTGTTTTCCCTTCGATTGTTCCTCATTTTGGCCAGCTCATTTATTCTCATTTAAAGCCTAATTACGTGGTATTTTCTTAACTTTCAACTGCTAAATGTTTGAAAAGTCTGTCAAATGAAATAAACTTGAGAACAATAAGCCATTCATGAAGGTTGGGCTTTATTGTTAAAACTATTATTCTCTTGTTTTTCAAAAGTATGTATAGCTACTTAATATATAGTCATTTTTAATTTAAAGTAGGGTTTTATCAATTTGATACAAAGCAAATTATTATAATTAATGGTAAAATAAACAAAAAAGGCTGTTAAAAAAAGAAGATAAAAGATTCTAAAAATAATAAAATTCTATTGTCTATTTTTAGATCAATCGTCATAGTTATTAGCGATCGTTTATTGTATCTTATGTAATTTAATGAAAGGAATAACAAAAATACACGTCTATTTTATACTAGATATGGAAGACTAAAGGAAACAAGGCCAAGCAATCAACTCTAGCTAGGATATTCCAAATCATAGAAGTCTAATAGAAAACTTCGATGTAATAGAAAGTCTTCAAATGATACTACGCAATAAATGAGAACGTAGTAAGATATAAAGGTTATATTGAATTAGCAGTTGTGCTCCCGATTTAATCATTACAAAATTTCAACAACACACTAAACAACTAAACCATTGAAAGTTATTCATATAAATGTCTGTTCTTTTTACGGCAAATTTCCTAAATAAATATCAGTGAATGGTACTTGAATATTTCATATTAAATATTATATATATATATATATATATACACTATAAAGTATAGTATTTAAAATATATATACAAGTAAACGGGTGTTTCTTAGTTGTTGCAACATACATGGTGATTATAGCGTAAATCGTCTGCTCAACATATAGTAGAACATTATGTTCAGAAGATACTGCTTATACTGATTAATTTTTGTTACAAACATCTAATATTTCTCTCATGATTCTCTATAGTCGAATGACTCGTGCCTAATGACTATAACAGTTTTCATTCGAGAAACAGATCATATAATGTTTATTTTTCTACTTTCTTCATTTTACAGATGATATTTTGTATTATAAGAAATATTTAACAATACATAAATTGTATATTTATACATTAATAGATCACTGTACATATATATGTATCTGAATAATATATATAGATAGATATATACTGTATACATCTATTTCTTCTGATAAACGTGTAGTTTATAATCAATCATAATCTTTATTAACTCAAATATCTTCTCTATTCAAACTGGTAAATGAAAATTAGAGATCTTTTTCATTTTAATTTCTTTAAGATTAAATGATAAACTTAATTCTGGATAATGTAAAAATACTCGTTTAAAGATACTTTCTAAGTCTATGTCAAACATATTAAATTTATCTTTTTAAATTATAACTTCATTTTTCATTTAGCTTTTATGGAATTTTGAAATACTATAGATTTGATATTTAATGTAAATTCTTTTTTTCTAACCCAATATTTACTTCTGTTTCGAATAATTAAAGCTTAATATAAAAATAAAGACTGTTTTCTATTGTTTTTTAATTGAATATAAGTCCATTCGGGTAGAAATTAACCAAGAAGAATTTCTATTTTCTCTAAAAAAGACTTCTAAAAGGGAAATAGGAATTGATCCTTTTTTCATAGTTCAAGATTGTAATGACCAGTTCATTAGAATTGTATTTTTAGGTATTGAATATTCTTTAGCATTTATCACAACATTGAGACAATCAATGTAGTGTATACGTCACCTCTGTGCCGGAAATCTGCTGGCCCGAGACGCATTAAGGTGACGCTCTTTCTAGACGACGCTCAATAAGTAAGAAATATACTGTTACTAGTCAATTCATCTAAACAACTTCGCGTCGATATTTTTTAACAACTTACGGTAACTTTCTCATAACCGTTATATTTTTGCATGTATTTAATTAATTTTATACTAATTTTTTAAAAGCGTGCACTATATCTAGGGATTTCGAATGTGTTAAGTGTAGGTAAAAGTGTTTGCTTATACTAAGAAGTTAATTTATTGCATAAAGCACTAGCTTTGTATGCGATATATATATATTTAATATTTTTTTCCTTCGATAACAATAACAAAAAGACATGTTCTTGTATATTTTTTCAAATGCCTTTGTACCTTTTGAAGTTGTAAAGAGCCGACTTTCTGTATTCTTTCACAGGCTAGATTGGTACTTTAATTCTTTAAGGATATATAGTTGTATGCTATTGATGAAAAAGAAGGCCTATAATATCTCCTTTTCCAGCTCTAAAAATGTAATCATCCTTTAAGAAATCTAGTTATTTTTGGCTTACGATCCTATCGCTCTCGATAGAATATACACTAATCCCTGCGTAGCGTCCATCACATTCATTTTGCGAGAACGACGTCATTAACAGCAACAACTGTAAAACTATTGCTGTGCAACCTTCGTCACAATCATTCATCTTTCTCTCTCTCTCTCTCTCTCTCTCTTTTTTTTTCTCACTGTCTTTTTCTCCCTGTCTCTCTCTTTCTCTCTTCTTCCTCTTTTTCTCCCTCTTTGAAAAGTACTGTAAGTATATTTTTTCTTAAGATTATAAAACATTTCTTAACCATTTGTACTCGATAATTTTCATTAATAAATATGATAACTAATTTACCAATTTAAAAATAGTAGTATACCTCATTGATGTAATTAGAAAAAAAATTAATAAATTACCTTAAATTCTTAAGTGATAAAAAAAGAAATTTACATAAAAGAAACTAATTTATTCGATTGTCTAATTGTTTTTTAATTATTATTTCTGAGCAAGTTATTTTAGGAATAGGTGAACTTTTTTTCTTGCTCTTGCTTCTTAATCACCAAATTACCAAGAAACTGAGGTTGCGTGTACCAAATCATAATATAAGTCATAGTAAGAGAAAAAACAGATTTGTTTTAGAAAAATGGCAAATTATTAGAAAAATTTACAATTTTCAATTAAAAGAGAAATAAAAGAGATATTATCATTCTATATTTAATCAATTAAAGTTTTATTTTTTAAATTAATACTTGAATATTTAGACGAATAAGTTTATTAATTTCACAGTTGATCGTGATGCAAAAATTGACTGTATGCAGATCAAAGACAGATTTTGCACTAAGCTTCCTTGATTTTCCCTAGGCGTAATTATACTCTATACTCCTTTCACTTTCGAAAAAAAAAGTATATAGTATACATTCTTTATTATGTCTTTTTTAAATACAGAAAATCAAATGGATGAATTTGAGCTGTTTAAGGAATGCGCTAAAATGGGATCAAGTTTACCAGGAACACCTAGACTCCGAAAACATACCGATCCGGAATGTGGTTCAATTTACCAGGAGAAAATTGAAGCTAAAAGGAAATCGGTGTCGGATTATAATAGAAAATTAGGGAAAAAACCGCTTAGTCGTCTAAATAGTTCTCCAGGACTTTTCAGACAGGGTTCAATAAATTCATCAGGAAGACCATCGCTTACCGAATCTGAAAATGAGCTGGAGATTTACAGAGTAAGATCATTTAGAACAAAAAAGAGAAGTATCGTCTACCGAGCTGATTCCTACAAGGTAACATAGGAATTTTACATTATTTATATATATTTGTACAATATATCAGATATACTGTATATGAGTTATTTTCAAAAAAATGAAAGAAAGAGAAAAACTGAAACTTCACTGAATTCAAAGATGAAATCTTACGTCTATTAACCTTTTTTTTTAATACGCAGTATACTACTGTATATAGGCAATTTATCTGTACAGTTTTTACATCTTAACGCAGATCAAACGTCTTTTAGCGCATTTCTAAGATCTTTTGGATGAAACAAAATATTATCAATTATTTTATTCATACTTTTATAAAGTTCAACATCTTTCGTAACCAATTAGAATTATCAATAAGTAGATCAAAAGGGAAATTCAAAAGAGAAAAATAATATATTATGCGCATCTTTATCGATAATTTCTAAAATACGAATTTTACGCAACAAAACTATATCGCCAAGGAAAGAGAGAAACTAATTTAATGAAATATTATCAGTTTACACAGAAATAGAATAATATTATAAATCGTGTTAATTGGCTAAAAAATATTTTTAAGAATTTTCCAGGAAAGTTAAAATATAATGATAATTATAAAATTTCTCTGCCTCTAAAAGGATAAACATATATGCATATATATATCATTCTACATTTGTTTATAACCGCTCCATGCCATTCGTAAGATGATTTTATAAATTATTAAGTAACATAGAGACGTAATTTATAAAATACGAAAGGAAAAAACAATACTAACCTTGAAATAATAAAGTTGATTTATTACTATTCAAGTTAATTAATGCAGGATAAAAATACTACTCCAATTACTATTTAAGGCCTAAAAGCATTTATTTAGTTAAATATCTGCCAAATATACTTGATATACACTTGTATGTATAATAAAAAAGTAAATTATGCTATATACACAAAGACGTTCTCTTCTTTATACCTGATTAAACATTCATATAAAAAGGTACTATTATTTACTTATTGTAACCTTACTTTATAATACAATAAACTTCTAGAGAAAGCGATAAATTATTCGATATTTATCTATTTATATACTTAATTACCAGGTTATTTTTCAATTCATGGAATCTATATATACGTTTTATTTCAGATAAGAAAATCTCCAAGCATACAAAGCGTTGCTACTCTTAAATCTAACTGTGCCAGTACTGAAGATATCATTCCAACCTTTAGAGTTCTTGTTCTCGGTTCAGTTGATGTAGGCAAGACGTGCATAATAAAACAATTTTTAACGAGCGAGTACGTCGGTGCAACCCCTAATGAAGGTAAACTTTATTTTCTTATTTCTTAAAAAAAAACGTTCTACCATTATTCAACATCTTTTTTATACTTCTTTATCTCTCTTTCATTCTTTCTCTCTTTTAGTTTTCTTCTTCTACATACCTTTTCATCCCTATTTCCTTTAAAGTTTTCAAATAGATTTAAACTAGATATTACTAAAATCAAAATATATACCATAGGTTTAATACAAAATTGATTGATCATCTTGAAATATCAGATTATATATCAAACATTGCATCAAATTGTATACGTGACAATTGAGCAACGAATTCGATTTCTATATAATTAAAAGAAGTCGGAAATGTGCAATAGCAATATACCTAGGGTATGAAAGACTGTATGTATTTTACTTGACAATAGTTAGTTGTTATCATTAAAATATTGTCTCTTTTTTTTTTAATGAATTGACCCAGAATGAAGTTTAATACAAGTCTGATGCAGTATATAGAAATAAAATAGAACGCATTCACATATATATACATTATACAAAAACTCTATGCTGTACATTATGCTGTTAGTTTTGCTGCTTCATATATATTACTTTTGCATATCATTTTTCTATCAACATAACAAATATTTACAAAATTAAGAAGGTTATTAGTTAATTGACTATGTTAAGCCATTCTTAATTTTGTGAATAAAATTTACATTTTCCTCTATTCTCTTTATTTTCCATGACCTTTTCATCTAATATTCTTAAGTTATTCCTCTTTTATTTTGCTCTCAGTTTTATTTTATCCATATATAAGATTTATTCCTTGTACACTTTCTCATTTTATAAATGTAGTCTCTATATTGTTACATCGTTGCATAGATGCTTTTTCCTCCATCTTAGAGAGATTTTTTGAAAACTTAACAAAATCTCGATTTAATTTCACCTGACTTATATTCACAATAATTTTCTCTTTCTCATCTCATTTTATTTCAGTTTTCTTTACACCATTAGCTACACTTGTTTAAATCTAGTAGTATATTCGCCTATTTTCTGCTTTTATGTCAAATAGAGGATCGTGAAGATTGCAATGTCACTGTGTCACTTGATGGCCAAGAAATTGTTTTGATCTTTTCTGAGAATACAAACGACAGTCAGGTACGTAATTTATGATATGTCATGTAACTTTAACTAAAAAGATATAAGACTCTTGCAAAGTCTTGTTTTTTTTTAAAAAAAAAAAAACAACCTCTACCTAAAACCATTACCTTACTTTTTAATTTATATTTTTGTATAATAATCCCCTGAAAAAAATCACGCCCTCTAGGATTATTGTATCTTAGTAAAATATGGCTTTAGAAAGATTACCTTAAAACACCAATTCCATTAAGCATTTTTTTTACAAAAAAATGGGAAAAGTATACATTTAAACTTGTTTGTACTAGACGTAGTATAAGTAATTATAGCTTTTGTTTTATCTTCTCCTTTTTGAAAGCCTATTAACAATTTCCTACTTTCGATTTTATGTTCTATTTATAGTATTTTTTATGTTCACGGTAAAACTCCGGATTTCTTTAATAAAATGTTTGTTGCAACATCATAGGCGATTCCAGATGTAAATATTGATGCCTATGTAGTAGTCTACGCTATTAATGAAAGGGAAAGTTTTGAGCAAGTGCGAAAGATTCTTCTTACACTAACATTGAATCGATCACATAATTTGGCGATCATTTTAGTTGGAAACAAGCAAGATATTGTTAGAAAAAGAACAGTTTCCGATGAAGGTTGAAACTTTTTAATTGATTTTCAATAAAAATCCAATTTCTATTCACCTACTCTCCCTATTAAATTGTATAGAAATTCTTTTCTGCCTATATTCTTGTTCTTTTCTTTACAGTTGGACGACGGCTTGCCGAAAAGTACGACTGCAAATTTATTGAAGTGTCAGCCCTACTGAATCATAAAATTGATGATCTTCTAGTTGGTATAGCAGCTCAAATAAGATTGAAACGAATCAACGTGGAAAAAAGAAAATTATCAGAAACCTTATCAATATTCGACCGTTTCTGTTATTCCAGATCAGGAGGAGGTTTATTAAAAAAATTTTTTAGAAGGAACTCCTTAAGGAGTAGAAGCTGTGAAAATTTATTAATTTCTTGAATGTAAATAAGAGAAATCCTTCTCTCTCTACTAAATTTTAATTATTATTATCTAACTTTGTACTGTATTATAAATACATTAAGTGCGTTTTCAAACTAGTATCTATAACTATGACAAACCTATACTACAAAATCTATTACACTCGAAACTAAGATGATACTTCTGTTGTTTCCGTTTCCTTTTTTCGTACCTCTATTCGTATATATGAATATAAATTTCATTATTACAGAAAAAATGGTCACTCTAAATATTCAAATTGTCTCTTAATTTTATCATTTATACAGTAATAGCCATGCGGTGTAAGCCGTTACCATATGCATTCTTATTACGTAATATACTGTACATGATGACATCTGTTGGATATGTTTAGAACTAACAAAATTCATAAGTGCTTTGTTTATTCATTTATTAATGAATATATACCTATATGTATGTATTTATATGTTGAAAAATACGTATGTGTATATTTTTCATAATGAATCAAAATATATAAATAAGAAAGACCATCAACAGTAATAATTAGCTTATAAATATTAAAAGATAAACTAAATTTTACTTATTCTCCGATAATGAATAATCCGTGTTTTATAAATTATGCAAAAATATACAAAGAGCAGTTGCGTGTCTGACCAAAGAAAGAAATTATATTTACGTAATCATTTAAATCATCTCTTTCTTTTTCTTTATTGGAATAAACTTAATACATTTAAATAATTTAAAGTTGGACTACAGTTTGAAATAGAAAGAAAAAGTAAAAAATCCTTTGCATGCTAATTAATATCTCCATTGATTTTTTCTCACTTTCGTTAAATATATTTGTTGGATTTGGTTTGCTATCTTTCTTTCTTTCTTTTTAAAATTTCTTTTTTTTGTATTTCGTCTATTCCCACTTTATTCTATTTAGAGTTTTTTTTCTTTGATTACTAACATAGAAGAAAACAAAGGAGTAGGATAAAACAAAGAGAAACAATAAGAAAATGTAAACGAGTAAGGCTTGGAGAGCAAAGGAAACAGAATGAACGAGTTAGCGAGTTTATACGTGGGACAGGGATTGAAGGGATAGAGGGAAAATAAAACTTATTGGAGGGTATGAGGTAAACGAGGGAAAGGTGAAAATTTCTTTTCAGAAAAGTAAAGAACGCTTGTAACGTTCATTTCCTTTTGAATTGCAAAAGTTAAACAGTCGCTCCACGGTGTTAAATAACTGAATAAGAAGACGGTAGAAATTGATTGACTGATGGAGCGTCAGGCCCGCCTTAGTCGTCTTCTGTCGTCGCCATTACATAATCCTTACGACATTTGACGCGTGCATGACGCCTGGCGCTTGCATTGTTATGCGTTTGCCGCAAAGTAGATGTATTGATTTACAAATTTGACTAATCCAACGCTTCACACTTTTGTAATATAATTTCTTTTTAATTTTCTCTCATCACCTTTTTAAAGATTATAAATCTCTGTAATTAATAAGAAATCTCTGTCATCTTTAACTGAACAAAATTGTTACCTCTCGTATTTTGTTTTGTAAATTTTTCTCCGATTTCCAACTTCTTTCCAATCTCGCTCTCTCTTTCTTCCTCTCTTTATTTTCGCCTATACAATTACGGTCTTAAACCACTCTGGTTCCTTGTTTCTTTTCATAATATCTGCTGCATCTGTCGATTTGAAATTAAATCGAGTTAAGGAGGATTTCAACTTATTACGTAACTTGTCAACCAGAAGCAGTTTAAGATTCATGAATAGTCTGTTACACTTTCCCAATTTTCTTACTTATAGGCTATTTAAGAAAAGGTGTTATTGTTTACTTGCTGTATTCAGATTATTTGCAAATTATTCAAATAGAGTATAGTGTTTATATCGCCTCGAGAAAAAATAAAAAGGCATGAATATTTACGCTTGAACAGCTCAATTTCTTACGCTATTTAAACAACTTGAAAACAGCATAAGAGGAAACTACAGGGACACTGATTGACGGAGTATCTTCCGCGAATGCTATTTTTGATAATATTATATATTATTATATATATATGTATACATTTTTACAAAAAGAATATAGACTATACTTTAAACGAAGTATAACTATAGATTGAAAAATTCTCAGGAAAGAGTCTTACAAATGTGCTTGTCTCTTTTCTCATTGTTATCCTCTATATAACTGATTTATTAATGATGTTCGTCGTAAATTTAGGCGAATTAGAATTTTTCAAAATAAATGCTTTACACTTTCGCATAAAACAAATCAACAAATTCTAATCCTTCAGAGTGTTATCCTTGAAAAACAATTAAAGCCAATTAGCCCGTGTCAATCAAACTGCTGAGCGACCGCCCACTTTAACGTAACTCCGCCTCGCTCTTCCGTCGTCTGTAGTCATTTTTAAAGAGGAATAATGCGTGATGGATAAGTGGAGTACAAATTATGTCCAACAGAATCGAATGCTATCTTTCATTGATACGACAAACGAAACTACAAATAACCCACTCTACAGGAATTGGCCTCCAACCAACGATTTTGCTCAGCAAAGATCAATGGCATTTAACAATTCTTCTACAGAAACAATTTTAAACTCTTTTCCGTCCGGCTATCCATGTATACGGCCAAATGTGGGTGGAATAGGTTAGTACTTTATTTATTAAATCAATTTTAGGTGTCTTATTTAAAAGTGGCTTTTAAAAAGCTAACAATCTAATTACTAAGAAAGTCTAAATATCTCATTAGGACTCATAAATAAACTATGAAAGGAAACACTTGAAGAGAAGAGAGAAAAAAATCCATTTTCTCTCTGGTTATTATATAAATAAATCAATGGAGGGGAAAAAAGAAGAAAATAAACTTAATAAATTATGAATTATATTTTTTTCTATTTATTTTCTTCAACAGATGAGGCTAATAAATGGAACACTCAACAATCTATGTCCTATAGAAATTCTAATACAAACACCTTCTGTAACTATAGTCCAACCAGCACGCCTTATTCTCACGTTTCTATAAAACGAGGTATTAGTCTTAAATTGAACATGATTGAATAGTTTTAGAGGATCATTTTTAATTAAATCAAGTTTATTCATTTTTACATTGCTTTTTTTTACCTTCAAATAGAGCCGACATGGTTTCAAGATAATCATCACGACTTTAAACCTACTGACCCTTATGTGCTGTTTGGTCCTTTATCTGCAAGATTATCGTCTTCTGGTAAGAGTTTTAACTATAAATAGTTTATATTGATTTTATTTTTCTTCATATGTTTACAAATATATTTTATATTATTCCTCTTTAAAGGATCTGGACAAATTCAACTTTGGCAGTTCCTACTTGAGCTTTTATCTCACAAGGAAAATCAGACTTGTATTACTTGGGAAGGAACATCCGGAGAATTCAAGCTCGTGGATCCGGACGAAGTTGCAAGACGTTGGGGAGCTAAAAAATCGAAGCCAAATATGAACTACGACAAATTGTCAAGGGCGCTACGATACTACTACGATAAAAACATTATGACAAAAGTACATGGAAAACGTTATGCCTATCGCTTCCACTTTTTAGAGTTGACAAAATCTCTGCAGCAAGCCCACGACGTTTTTAACCCTCAGAACTCCTCGCACTTCATCCCAGCAAACTATTACTGCCAGACTTACTATTAATCTGTAATTCTATGTATACAATATTGAGTATACATAGCTTGTATAATTTGATTTCTAGAGTTGATAAGCTCTTTTAACTTCCGTTGCATATAGATAAAAGTTTAAAGAATAAAAAAAATTGAAATTTAATACTTATTCTTAATGGAATTTATATTTTCCTCTAACGTTGGGAAAGAGGAGAAAGAGCATAATTTTTTTTCTTTTTATTTTAACGCTTATTTAAAAGTTACAAAGTGGCCCGAAAAAATTGCCGTCTTGTGGTAGACCTCCTGCTGAGCTTCTGGTCGACACGCGCCATCTGTCCACCTTCGAAAGTGACCATGTTGCGGTCTTACATCAAACGTCTTTGCCGACAAAATATTTGCTGAAAAGTGACGATGCGTGCGATGTGATTAGTCGTTGAGACTGTCTAATCCCAAAAGCTCTTGTTACATAATAGATCAAGGTCAAGGTTGCTATACATTCAAGCGTCTTAATTAACGGGTCGTTCTTTCCTTTATAGATATATTTGCAATTAGTAGCAGTTTGGTCTCGTGCTTACTATAAACAGCAACACCCATTTGTATTGTATTCGTTCTCTTCTATTCTAGTGTTAAGTTAGCGTTAATTCATATTTACTATAATTTATTAAGCGTTAACCTATTTAATCAATCAAGATTCTCTAGGCGTCTTTGTTTGCTAAATACTTAATTCACTCAATTTAGTCAAAATAACAATATTACTATTTTGCATAGTTGATGAATAATTAGCGTATTTTTCAAACTTCCACCTTCGTGAGCAGTCTCGCCTTTCAAAATGCGACGTCCGTCAATAGGAAACGCCTGGAGTTATGGGTAATGCAGAAAATCCCGGGGGAGGCGAAGGGGCGTGCCTAAACATAAACTTGACACTCGTTGACAGACGCTCTTTAACTACTTAGGCGTTAGGTCAGTTTCAAGCGCCGTACTAGAGTCGTTTTTGAGAGGAACGGCAGTTCTAACGCCTGAATGTCCAGCTGGTTTGTTACCTCATGAATGGGAAGATTTTCTGTCAAGATTAAAAGTCACACTTCTTTTCCAAACTTGAAGTTTTAAGACGACTATGACATTTTTTTCCTCTCCTTCAAAAAGTAAAAGCAAAGAATGTATAACTTGAGGAAAATCGATTAATCTTAAATAAACCGGTGTAAATTTAAGTGATCCGCAAATCTCCAACTGTTTCGTTACACAATTGACGTCGAATTCTCGGCTTCAGAGATTTTTCAATGCTGATAAACACCTTTTACAATAGACAGTAATTTGTCAATCTCTCCTGCGATCTGATAAGGGAAATAGTTAATTTATTGTTCCAATTCAATTTTCTGTATTGAACGCACTCTACTTTGAACGGGAGGAATAATTAAAAGAACAAAGAATAATTACTATTGACGTGACGTCTTGCAGATGTTTTTCTACATTGTATATACATTTACGAAATTCAAACTCTTTTATACCTCAATTAAGCTCTTATAAAGGTCACGTGATTAAGAATAGCTACTTTCAAAGACGCTCATTTAGAGCCGTCACTTTGCAACGAGAATATTATAGTTTCGTAAGTAAATACATTTCTATTAAGCCTATAAACAAAATGCATTATACGAAGTTATTAACGTTTTTTTTTTTAAATGTAAACAAAGTTTAATCAGTGCATAGAAGAATTATTATATTTTCGTTGATAAGTTTTAATTTCAATTTTGCACGTTTTGTAGAGATATTTTAATTAGTTTTTTTATTTTTTTTTGTTTTATTTTCTATTATCTTGTTGTTTTTTTTTTCTTTCTTTTTGTTTATTAAATGAAAAGAAAAAAGTCTTATAAATCCTTTAAGAGAAAATTGCTAATTAACTAAACTAAATCGTATTTTCCTAGCACGCAACATATAGAAGAAAAAAATGGCGGATATTCTAAATTAGTCAGTCTGGCCGCTAACCAATTATCGCTCGGTAGTAATTTATTATTCATAAAGCTGTCCGACCATATCGCCTATTGAGAAACCGACATAGTTTAGCGGCGTATGTCGGGAAGGAAACGTTTCGAAGGAAAGAATTAAAAGTATAAAAGTATGTTGTTTCTTTTTCCTATTCGTTTTATGTTACTAATTTCCTGGCCGGTGTTGGTTATCGGATATGTATAGTTAAGGTGATAAGTACTCCTTTGAAAAAGGTTAATTCAATGCTGAAAATTTTGAGAAAAAACGAAAAAAGCAAACATATTTTAAAGCTTTTTCTCTACTTTTTCTATTGAAAAATAAGAAAGTTGTCTCTTTCTTAAAAGATTATTAACAATTATCTTGATATTTCAAAAAATTTCTAGTTTTATTTAACAATTTATCTAATAAAGTAGATTTTATATTAAAAAATCATATAGAAAGTGTTTAAAAAACGAATATATCATAGTAGAATGTCTGAACTGTAATGTATTTTATTCCACTGCTTTTGTTAAAGAGAAGATATTTAGCAGTCTTTTATTTCTTTTTGCTTATCTTTTTTAATTGATAAATAGAATTCAGCCAGTTTTTTATTGGCCTCATTTAGAGAATGGCTTTTAGTCTTTATTTATTGTAAGAGAGCTAGTTTCATGAAACGATTTTAATTATAAATACAGGTAAACATTTGGAAAATAAAATGTATGTTGGAGAAGAAAGAGCTTACTTGAAGCCGGAAGTAACGCCCGCAGCATGGAACTCTTATGAAATGCCTCGCCAAACCTCATGGAATAATGTAGACTATGAGCAAATGGACAAATCAAGATTTTTGCCTTTCGGAACAGAAGGTTGCTCTTTTTTAGGCATTAGACCATGCATTTTTTATTAAAGAAAACGTATTCGTAAAAGAGCCCATCAGGCTTTTGCAGTAGCAAACAGCAAAGACAATTGCACCTGCCTGTGCACCGTCTTTTCATTGTCAAACCAGACTGCATCACGCACTGCAATGCATCTGCTGCTGACTTCCGGTCCGTTGCTGCGCTTTCTAATTGGCCGATTATCGAACGATTCCTCCGCTTTTCATGAGTTTTCAGCGGTTTCTCTTTTATCATTATTTAATTCACCAACAATTACGGGCGGTAGAAAGAAAATCAAGAGAAATACATAGTTTTTCTTTATGTCGAATATTAATAGGATTAATATGAATCAATTTATGGTATATGTATATATTAAAAGATGAAGCATCTTTCACTATCATTAAATTGCTATTCTCAACAAAACAATATCAAAGGTAAATTTGTTTCCTTTTATTGTTTATTGTTTACAACAATTCCATTAAATATAGTCAAAAAAAAAGCTTTTATATGTTCTGTTAAAAAATGTCCGCCCAAAGAAGTTAGATCTCATGCAGTTTTGTGACGCAATCAGGCAGGTAGAAGTAGGTAGTGAAGAGGAAGCGAAAAGCTTCCGACACGGTAGGCTCAACAAGGGCATTTCTTTCAATTTGACAAAAGATTTAGGCTAATGACTTAGATTTTTCAGTTGTCACTGTAAAAAAGTCATAATCATATTGAATTTGAGAATTTTTTCATTGTAATAGTTCTTTTACATTGAATTTTATCATTTATTACTTTGACTTATGATAACAAATAGATATTATATATAATATATATATTGTATACATGAGCAATTCATCTATTGTTCACTCTTTCTCTACTATGTTGTTCCCGTCTCAATTTAACTGCAAAAAGATGAAATAAGTATTCTTTGAATTATGTCCTTTATCTAAAACAGTGGCTTCTAAATGAGCAGATGTAGTCCAAGTCGAATTTCTAAGAGACCCTACTGCGTTGGTTGCCACGTGCACTACAATGAACCAATTAGCGAACCGGGCCAGATGTAAAAGCTTGAAATTTTCACTAATAAATTACGGAAAATGACGCAACTCTTACTTTTAGTAGTCTTCCGCCCTTCCAGGCTATCGCCCTTTAGTTGCTAAATTTAATAGTAGATGTTTGCATAATATCTTAAGATTTCCTTGAACATATTTCTTTTCATGTTCAATCATTCCTCTAAATAGCATGTATAATTTTCCGTTAAATTTCAGGTGATCCTCAATCTTGGACATCGGAACAAGTAAATAGCTGGTTGAGATATCAAATAAACAAACTGGGCTTGGCAGAGTCTATTTGTAGTAGTCTGACTACCAATTTTTTGCATGTCGATGGTAAAGATTTGTTTAATATGACACTAGATAACTTTGTCGATGTCTGCGCTAGCAAGGAAATTGGTGAATTACTATATCAGGCCTATCAATCTCTGATAAGAGGTATGTTTATTTTTCTGTTATCAATAGTCTTATTGTTTTTTTAATGTACTTTCCCTGGGTGGAATAATGTTACAAGCCAGCACTATTCAGTGCTGCCATCTTTTAAATTATTTAAAGATTTGCCATTTTTCTTGGTTACATTAGTAGGGCTTGCAGTCTTCCGTTGCAGCGCATAAGATAATTTGAATTATTTAAACATTATAGTGAATCTTAAGAGAAATACATGTGCGTTATTTTTTATTTAAGACAGTTTTTAAAAGAAAATGATAAAGAAAGAAAAGCTACTTAGTATTTCTCGCAAGATGGCACTATTGTATATATCAATTATTATCTTAACTTTATATAAACTTTAAAAGACTTTTTAAAATAGGTCGAAACTCTCCGAAATTCGGTAATTATTCATTTCCCTCTTATTCAACGCCAAGTTTAACGGCAAGCTCCAAAAATGGTTAGTTTTCTTTTGTTGTATATTTGAACATTGTTAGCGCCCTCTATGTTCTGTAATTAAGACTAAAGCAAATCAGTGAGGACAGTAAGGACACACCCGTCCGGTTTATTGTCTAGATCGTAGTGTAATTGAACAAATTGTCACATTTTTTAAAGAACTATCTGCTTACCAAATAATCATTAAGAAGACGGAGGAAAGTCTAGCAATACTTGCGAGCAAGAGTACTTAACGACACTTGATTTAATCTACAAACATTTATCCGTGATACTCGTTTCTTATGCTTCTTCCAATATGAGCTTCTGAAAAACTGATAGATTTTATTTAAAATAGAGACGGTTTTTTGCTTGAAAACAAAATCACGTGACCTACGCCCGCGAATAACGCCCTCAGCATAACCTACCCTTCAACGGGGCGTCACAATCAAATGAGCGAGCGTCGCCTTAGTTGATTGCAAAAGTGACGCCCTTCTGGCGTCTTTCGACACCCTCGAATTGCTGCTTAACTACCGCGTTTAACTGACCATTATCTAGTTGTTATAATATATTTGAAGAAATGTGTGTTCCTGTGATTATTTCACACCAGTAAGCTTTCATTAGGCCTAGCCAAACCGAATGAGCAAAATTTAGTCTTTTTTTTATAATGACAAATAGATTGCGGTCATCACTAAAATGGCGAAAAACAGGGTTAGGTCAGAGATGCCCCTGCAAATAAGCCCGCTAGACGCTATTTCATTATTCGTCTTTGCTTATGAGAAGAATTTCTGTTTAGGAAAAAAGGGAGGAAAAGAAACGCTTTGTAAAGGATCGATATGCAATAGGAAATGATCAAGTGCTACATATCGATTACACATCGTTTTGAGTGATAATAAACTGTCAAAACTCTTTAATTTCCTTTTGGAGATTCGATTTTAATCGCTTATAATTAGTTGGAAAAACACATCATAATCTGTAAATAAGACAGAGTACAAAGTTATATTTTCATTTCTTATCCTTAAATAGGTAGTTTATTTACTTTTCTTAATAAACTAGTAGGCCTACTTGAGGATAAAAAACAAAAATGTAAATTTCATTGTCTAGGGCGCAAATAGGGAAAAAATTTTCTGCGCTGAAGAAACGCGCCGCACGCGGTCAGTTTAAAAGGTGACGCGGGCCCTCTATTTCCGTTCGAAACGCCGTTTAGACGCCCTCGCCATGATTGACTGCTCGCTCGGTTCCAGCATTAAAAAAGAGGAGTATATCAGACATTTAACGGCTTTTTCGGGAGTCGTTTTTCACGGTATTTTAATCTGTTTTCAAACTTTCTTTTTTTTTCGTAAACTTTATTATTATAAACCTTTTTCAAGTTATTATCTAACCTTGACCTTGTCTCATTTACAGAGCATCCAACGTATGGAAAGTCTTCCTGGTTTCCGCAGTGTTCTGAAAGCCAAGGTGAGAATAAAGCATATAAAAATTGTACATATACATCGAGAATTTTTAACGGATGAATGCCTTTGCTGTTTTTTCTCAGGCTATTCACACCACATGCAACTAAAAGGATTAGACGGACAGTTTTCTAGACATCAAACGTTAGGTTTGTAGCTTTCTTGTCCTTTTCTTATTTAGATTATTACGGTTATGTCAAATAGAAAACTTCTTATAAAAACTTCGGACTATTGAAATCTGTTGTTTTGCTTTTACAAAAAAAAGCGTCTATCGTACTCTGATAGAACTTTGCGCCTAATCGCTTCCGCCTGTTTTTGACGTGAAAAAAGACAAATGCGTTTATCGAACGACGGACGGTCGACGGAGAAATCTGCTATTGCTATACTGAAACCTAATTGAGAAATCTTTTGACTCTTCTCGTCGGTTGAGAATAGCAATAACCATATTTATTAAGCGAATAGTCTAAGGGGAATATCCACACGGTCAGTTTGTTGCTTGAACAAAAACTTTTAAAGTCCCTGTTGCGTAATACTTTGGACAAATAATCAATAGTTTTTATATGCTTACAAATCTCTTATTCCAATATATTATCTTTTAAACATTAATCCTCCACATAGTTTACCGCAAGTCTACTGTTTCTTTTGCTCGCCCGGGGCGTCTTTTCGGTTGAAAAGTCGTCCAGTGAAACGCGTTTAGTCACGTGATAGCTGTCTAAACAATGTAAGTGCTGTTAGGGTAATAAAAAAGTTTTCTCTTATAAGTTTATTTTTTAAATATATGGGAAAAAATAGACAATAAAAAGTAATAAGAAAGAAAAGAGACTAAAACGGCGTTATATTTCTTGAAGATAAATGATAAATTTGTAGAGAAAAAGTAGGTAAAATACAGATATACTGACTTCCCGCCAAAATAATTAGCCCTTGTAGCAAATAGCAACAAAATTGAATGTGAACGAAACGTCTACTTGACTCTTGTCTGAACTCGTTCGCAATCAAAGGCTCATTATTCTGCACACATAACGGTAGACATATTGGCCAGACTAAATTGTATTGTCATCACTTTAATTTTTCTGTTGCTTACAGACCCTTATCAGGTTCTTGGTCCGATTTCAAGTCGCCTTTGCAACTCGGGTAAGTGCAAGTTTATATTTGTTATTTACTTTATTGTTATAGCATTGAGAATCGTCATGTCCTTTGAAGGTGTTAACAATATTCAAGCGTAATTGAACGCTGATCGCTGATACACAGGGTTAATAAGCCGTATTTACTAGTAATTTAAACAGAAGAAGGATATTAATAGCTTGTATATTTTAAAGGATAACAAAAATATTTGTTAGTTTTTTTGTCTGTCGCCTCTATGTATACTCTCTCATCCATAGTTTATTCCAGTCAGCAACATCGCAGGTCAAACGGAAGTAACGCTTTGCTAACGCTGATAAAACAGGGCGTCTAAGTAGATTACAGGCGTCGCTGCCTACGCGATTGAAACGACGCGAAATAACGCGATTTTATATGTTGTAGGGAAAGTCCTATGATTTTGGCATCCTAGTAGACCGGGGAAAAAATTCTATATTAATAAGAGAGCAAGTAATTTTATAATGTATTTAACCCCTAATAGATAGGTTATTACATATTATGGACATGTAATTAGGGTAGCAGGTCTTTAAAGCTATAAAATATATAAAGCGTTACAAGTGAGCGGATGAGTGTTCTTTTCATCGGATTTGATTATGAATGAAGGGATTTTCTTTGCCGCTTACATATTTTGATGTACTTCTTTGCTTGTTGCTATGTCTATTTGTTTAAATAATATTAATATCTACAGGTTCAGGGCAAATTCAGCTTTGGCAATTCCTACTCGAACTGTTGTCCGACTACAAGAATCAATCTTGCATCACTTGGGAAGGAACATCTGGAGAATTTAAACTCGTGGATCCCGATGAGGTAGCAAGACGTTGGGGCGAACGAAAGTCAAAACCAAATATGAATTATGATAAACTTTCCCGAGCTTTACGCTATTACTATGATAAGAATATTATGACAAAGGTTCACGGAAAACGTTACGCCTACAAATTCGATTTTGCAGGCCTAACTCAGGCTATTCAACCAACTTCTGATCCTTCCGCCTATAAATATCATCAAGACCTTCTCATGTCCACCTACCATCATACATCGAAGCTAAACTTCATGGCTCATATGGCACCACCTGGTGGACATTTCTTTCACCCGTCTTCCTCCTACTGGACTAGTGGCCATAATTCGTTCTACCCAACTTTACAGCCAAATGCTTCTCACTCCTCCTCCCTTTCTTCGAGCTCTCCCTACTCCTCAGCTAGTTCTTATTGTGCATGATTTAACGAAGATTAAAGCGCTAAGGAATATCCTCAGCCAAAATTATTCACTTACGGAAAAACACAAAACACACAGTATACAAAAAAAAATCTCACCAAGTATAGTATGTAGCGCAAACTTAACAGATGGCGCTTTATACTAAAAAAACTATAAAAATTTATGTATAGTTTAAGAATCTAATGTACAAAAACTTTAATTAAAAGACGAGGTTATATAATAATAATCATAATAATAATCATAAAAAACAGCAAAGAATTTTCGCAATGTCCCCTTTTTCTTATAATTCCTTTATTCAAACTGTCTAATCCCTACTTTCTATATGACCCAAAATATAGAAAGTAGTCTTTTTTATTCGTACAAACGAAAAAAAGAAAAAAAAATTTTGAGATATTATAATACATATAAATAAGATTGTAAATAAATAATAGAATTAATCAAAAGAAGTACGAAATAAAGGGTTTATATAGTAAAATATGACTAAAGGGGGAAAGTTAATACAACGACTATACTCAATTCACAATTACAGTATTCGGACTTGGCAAAAGAGAAGAAAGTAAACTATATTTTGCTGTAGTCAAAAAAAAAAATGGTTATAAAAATGTTACAAAAAAATTAAACACAATTTAGAGGAATATATAATTGTCTCGTTTAAACTGTAAAAAATTAGTTTGTATCTTTATTAAGGGAAGAAGAGATATATAGAACTATTTTCTCTCTGTCTGTCCTTCTGCTCTCTCTCTCTCTCTCTATATATATATATATATATACAGTATATATATATATATATATATCTCATAAAAAATGAAATAAAATGTATATTTGAACAAAAAAATATGTACATCTCTGCTTTTCTCTTCTCCATATAGTTTTGTTTTGTAAAAATGTCCATTCAAAATAAAATTGAATGGTAAAATTAAAGGCAATTTGAGAATTATTTCCAAAAGTATATACAGTTTATATATTAGTATATACATGAAAATATTTTAAAAATTGTCTTATTTTTGATGTCTAATCAAAGAAAATTGTTATCTAAAGATGTAAAAATATTTAAGTAAGCTAATTAATCAATGTTTTATTTTGAAAAATTTTATTGAAATAAACTATTCTTGTTTGATAGCTTGAGATCTGATAAACTTTTTGTATAACAAATAAGGTAAATATTTAATAGTAATTCATCTTCTTTGATTTAGATATTGAATGAATTGTGCCTCTATTCTTCGGTTTGGATATATTTTCCATATATCTTGGTAAAACTTTTGTTTTATCTGGTCTTTGTGGTTTAGATAAAGGTTGAATTGGCTTGGCTGCTCCTTCTTCTTCAACTTCATTTGTAGACTTTTCTTCTTTTACTTTGGATAAAACATCTATACTTTCTTGTTTTGATTTAAGTAAGAGTGTATGTTCCTTCTTTAATTTTTCGTAACTATCTTTATAATTCGCTTCACTCTTTTGAAGACTAGTACAAGATCTCTCTATATTATTAAGTTTCTTTAGAACAGCATTTAAATCTACTCTCCATTCTCCCACATTCTTCACTTTGTCTTCGATACTTTTATCGTTTTCGTCGCTGCAGTGCAAAGCTAAACAAATATGATTAACCTGTAAATAAATAAATATATTGTGTTTATTAACAAAATTCGATTAATGTCTTCACTAAACATTTCACCTTTTCAAGTAAAGACCAATGACTCTTTTCTAATTTGTTAACGGAATTAGCGTAAGCGTCTAGAATGGATTGTCCACGATCCGAAATATTCCAGGCTTTAAACAGCTTTTCACGTTCTTCTTTTCTTTCCTTTGTGACCTTTTCAATCTGTTTTTCCATTACGCCTAAATGATCTAATAAACTGTTAACGTTCAGCTGTAATTGACTAACGCGAACGTTATCTGGATTAGAACTGCTTTCGTATTCGTTTTGACCAAACACTTTTAGTATTTGAACGTTCATTGCCTTTACGTAACAATTTTAACAGACTATTACCATTTTTGCATAACCCTATTACTTATTAACCCTAATTTTTTTAATAATATTTAAAATTCATAGATTAATCTGTTTTAGATTGTTACTTTAATTTGAGAATCGAAAAAGGCAATTCTTTGATTAGCCATCCTATTAGCATTTTCACTTGCATCGTTTGATCTTATCATTTTGTGCATTTCTTCTGAATGTTTTGAAGTTTTTGACTGTAATGTTCTTCTTAGATGTTTTGCGTCTTCCGATACAGAATCCTTTTCTTCATTCTCTTTTATAAGCTGTTCTTCTAAAATTGCTATTTGTTTTTCCTTTTCCTTAATAGTTCTACCTTTTTCAACTTCCTCTTGCAGTAATTGTTGCCTTCCTCTAGCAGCTTTTTCCCTCTCGGTTCCTGACTTTTTCCATGAATATCTAATAACGATCTCGACAGATTTCTCTCGAAGAAATGCCAACAATTTCTGCTGTTCAACTGGATTTAACGCTCTAGCTAGAGTAGGAAATTTGGCAAAGATATCTTGAAATTCTTTGCTCTGAGATTTTTCACAAACGTCTTCCTCTTGTAAATGATCAGCTAGTAGAGCATGTCCACTAACGATAGATTTCAAAAAAAATTTTACTTTTAATAAGAATTAATATTCCATTAATTACTTAATCATTTGTTTATGAATATTCATACAGGAAATATAATAATTAGAGTGAAAAATGACTTTGAAATCTAACGTAAGAGAGAGAACATCACCAAAAGCGAAAAAACTATTTTTACCCAATCTTGCCACATGTTGTAATAGTTGTATTAATTTTTCCTCTTTCTCTTCTATTTGTTCAAGATCCTTAAGCATACTAGCAGTAATAACTTTTTTTTCTCTTAATAAATTAATGAATTTATCATCGATTATAATGTTATTCACTAATAAATTACGATTTTCTAACAAGATCCTTTTATATTTATCTTCGGCCATTCTATATGCAGATATTCACTCCTCTCTTTTAGTTTTCTTGCTCTTCTTCCTAGCGTCGTCAACCAGTTAATGCGCTTTCATTCGAAAGGGTTTTGTTTACATAAAATATTGACGGCTTTATAACGTATTAATATAAATATATATATATAAATATATATATAAATTGTATTGAACTTTTAGTTTTTTATATTTAATCGGTCGCTGTAAAATACTAATTCATAATTAATTCAAATCCGTTTTCTCCTTCTTTTATTATACAAGATTTTATTATACGTTAATTGAAGATCAATGATTTTATATAACTTTTTATTCATAAAATCGATTCCTTCCTTACAGTGTAGATGGTAGCACAGTACCTATTATTTAATAATTTCATTCTATTGCTCATTCTTCAAGATTAGCATGTAAAAAAGAAAAAGAAATAGAAAACACGACGTAGGAATTCCTTTCAAATCAGTAGAAAAGGACCAAAAAGAAAATACACGAATAAATAATATAATATAAATCTATTTTCCACCCAAAAAAAAGATATAGAAATCTATTTCTTACTTCAATAAAAGTTAAATAATTGCGCTATGTTCTACAATTCCTTTAGGGTATTATGTAATCATCTCTCTATCTTATTTTATACTCTGCAGGTACATCTTATTCTATTTGAATTCTTAAATGTCTTGCCTTTCCTGTTACGAGTTCATTAAAGAAAAAGAATTAATTATTTAGAAAAGTAAATATTGTACTACTAACGGTAAATAATTTTCAACTGTTGTTGATGTTGTTGTAGTACAACTGTAAACAGATTCAGATGGAGTTTCTAATGTACTTATCCACTTGTAGGTATGATTTTCTCCGAATTCAAAATTGTCTCTTCTTCCCATACCGCTTCCATTACATTTTGAGCAGGCTTTAAAATTTGATTTATTAGGAATTTTATGATATGCGTGTGATTGAATAAAATTCATAGATTGATTGTGTTTATTACGTTTATTGTAATTTTTCATGTTAATCCAATCATTTTGCCAAATTTTTGGATAATCTTTCTTCTCAGTGATTGATTCCTTATAAGATTTCTCCTTTTTCTTTTTTCTCTTTTCTACAATTTCAATCTTCTTATTCTTCTTTGAATTTTTATTTTCTAAATGTTTTATTGATTGTATTGATTCTTCAGATGATTTAAAAGAATGATTGTCATAAATAGGACTATCTCTTCTTCGCGAAGTTTGAGTAGATATATGACAATTTTCATTTTCCCTATAGGAAATTCTGATAATAAGATGAACGCCAAAAAATATTAATAACTATTAATAAAGCTACTTACTTAAATCTTGGACTGTCGTTAGGATTGATGGATAATTTACAAAACTCATTCATTGTTGGTGTTTCTGATTTATTATTATCGTTACGATGCGAAAATAACATATTGTCTTCATTCTTAAATTTTTCAATTTCTCCTCTGAGTCTGATCCAACAATTCTCCATTTCTCTAACATATCCCAAAAGCTGTATGGGTATTTGAGAGTGTTGAGGATTAAGGTTTGTATCTCTTTCCTTCTCGATTAAAGCCTCTTGAAGACGCCTATTAAATTCTTCTCTCATCTCTTCTTCTTTTCTCAAAAGACAGTCTTTAAAATCTACTTCTAAGTTCTTCTTTTCAAATTCTAGTCGCCTCTGAAATTCATGTTTTTCATTTTCGTACTTAACTACTTCAGTTTTAAAATTTGAATCCTTTTTGTCTATTTCCTCTTCAAGATACTTGTTGGTTTTCATTAGATCTCTTGTTAAAGATTCAATTTGACGTAACCTTGAAGCTATCTGGCAAGAGGAGCGACTCTGAATTTGTAATCTTCCTGACTCTCTGCCAGAATTTAACATCATTGACTCAGTTGGCCTTGTAAATTCTCGTTCAATAAAGAGTCCAATAATAATATCAAGAGATTCCTCTATATATTTTTCTCTTTCTCTCAACCTCTCAACTTCCATTTTAAGATTGTCGACTTTATTCTTTTCTTCGATTAAATCATTCTCTAATGATTCTATTCTTGTTTTCATATGTTGATTTTCCATAGTTAACTGATATAAATCTCTAGAATAAGATTCCTTTTGGACACAATTTCTTTCAATTTCTTCCTTCAATTGACCTATATGATTGACCTTTGAACCATCCTCCTTCTTTGTCCTCTCTAACTCACTCATTAAACGTCTAATATCGGAATCCTTGTCTTTTAGTTTTTCTGATAATATTTTATATTTAAGAAACTATATTAATCTCTTAAAAAATATTATTACCTTGTAATTGAACAACGCCTTTCAATACTTCTTCCTTCTCAGTATACATCATCTTCAATTCAACTTCCTTGTTTCTTATATCATCCATTTGTTTCCTTTTTATCTCTTCTAATTCATCAACCTTTGATCTAAAACTGTAAGCTTGCTTGTCTAAATCCGATTTAACACGGTCAAATTCTTTTTTTAGTAATATATTCTCCTGTTCGATATTCTCAGCTTTAAGCTTAGCTTGAGCACACTCCATACTAACATCGTGCTTTCCGCTAAGTAACCTTTCAAGTTCGTTTATTTGTTTCATCTGTTTCTTAGACTGTTCGTATAATTTTTCGTTTTCTTTAGCAAGACTCTTTCTGTCTTCGTGTAGTTGCATCTCCAATTCGGCATTCTTTTTATCAAGATCGGTACTCCTCTTCTCAAACTCTTCTCTTTCTCTTATTAGTAATTTTTGCAATCTTTCTTGCTCCTGTTTAATTAATAGGGCGAATAGTAAAAGCTAAATATTACAATGAGAGAATAGAAAGATTTTACCTGGTTACCCTCATCCTTTTCTGCTGGACCAGGCGTACTAGTTCTTGGAGACTTCAATATTCCTTTATGTTCGCCCTAATATTGAATAGACGGTTGGTTATATAATCAGTAGTACAAGAAAATTGTAAATCTTGCCTACCGAGCTTTTTACTTCAGTGTCACTCAATACTGCCGTATCAAATTCCAATTTCTTCCTAACCTCTTGCACTAACTGATCAGGCGTTATTCTTGAGACGTCAATTGTAAAATCCGGTTTTCTATAACTACTTATAGGCGTTGAGTTAGCTTTTCCTCTTGAGAATTTGCTGTATCTTTTCGGGGCAAAATAGGGTTGCTTTTCAGAATTTTTTGGTGCCCATTTTGTTTTAAGGTCGCTAAATTCTAGAGATTTTGATTTGAAACCTGCTGTTGCCAAGGCTTGATTCGCTTTGTTTATTGTTGATGCAACACTAGTATGTGATCCTGTGGCTATGGCTGGTGTTGTTTTAGCTTTGTACTTGTTCAAAAAGAAAACCTCCATCAGGAATTTTCTGCTTTATTTTCACGTTAAATTCATCGTAATTTAAAGAAAAATCCTTATATTCCACACATCTACCACCTCAGACGAACTCCTTAATAAACTGTAAACTAAAAATGAGATATTTAATAGCCTATTAATCCAATCTAATCCCTAGTCATGGATTTACTTATTGATCAACTCGATAGGAATTATTCTCAAGTTGTTTATTAATTTCGACTCTTATATATACAAAATACATATTGTCATTTTATGTTTGGTTGTTTTACACGATGGTTTACATAATTATTTATCAACTTACACCTATCTTTAGTTATTTACGATTCATTAATTCCATTATCTAATCAAGTGACTAAACTGTTTAAATATCAATTAGTAGCAAACAACGGTTTTATTTTACTAAATAATTTAACATAGGTTTTATTTATTCCAACCAAAAACAAAAATAATGAGCCCCCAGTGAGAATTGAACTCACGACCCCTGGTTAACATTATTTTGCCACATTAACAATTACAAGACCAGTGCTCTAACCACTGAGCTATGGAGGCTTTGATAAAGTTTATACCGCTACTTAATACTTTAAATATCTTTTTCTAGTCAATATTCAACACCTGATTTTCATTAGGAATTTCAACTATGCAATACTATTAAAGTTTTAATGAACTATTTTAACCAAAAGATATCATAAGTTTGTTTTTTAAAAGAAAAAATTTATCTTGTTTTTCATTTTTTTCTATCATATCAAATATTTTTTATTAATAATAATAAAAAAATATAGAAATATATACTATTTAAATATTTGAATATCCGATGTAGTTCGAGTAATATGCAACAGATGTCGCTATATGGCATCTGAATACGTTCTCTATATATACTTATATATATAAATATATATATAAATTTATATATATATATATATATATAATTTTTTCATAGTTGGTTAATAGAGAGTTCAGAAGTAGGAAATTTGATAGCAAAATCGTTAACGTATTATTTTACTGAAAAATTAAGTAATTTATTTATAAATTCTATGAAGACTTTTGCAGAGAATAGAATAAAGAGACTTTTTCTATGCGGTTATATTTTTATAACCGACACTCCCGGTCAGGAAAGATAGGAAGAGTCTAATTTTCAAGATAATCTTTACCGAGCTATGGAACTAGTCGTCTTTTCCATTTCCGGAAAAATCATAAAAAAGAGAACATTCTTCCTGAGGAATAGATCTATTAAATGAGATCATATAGTATTGCTTTAATATCGCCAGCCAAGGTTAGCTGGAGGATAATTGTATATAGTTTTTTACTACTTGCAATAAATATGATGATTACAGGTATATAAATATCTTTATAAAATAAATATGCATGAATGTATGTTACTTTAATGTAGTATGTTTTATTATAATTATTGTAATAAATAATAATAGTAATAGTACTTTTAACTAGATAAAAATTTTCGATAAAATATTTAAAAAAAAGAAAAAAACACTAGGTAATATATTTATTATCAATCAATTTTGCAAATATTTGTTGCTAGTAAATGCTACTTGTGATGAAGAACTTGGTATGGGAAGTGGAAAGATTACTGATGGTCAAATAAAAGCTAGTTCTTATTATTCTCCACCAGTAAAACCACAATTTGCAAGGTAAATTAAGAAAACAGATAAAAAAGATTATTTTTAATTATCTTCCACCTATGTACTGTGAGGGAACAAGCTCTTATATATATATAAATATAAATACCGTATATACTATTATTTATACTTGTTATCAAATAGGTTAAATGCTGAGAGGGAAGGAGGAGCATGGTGTCCTAGAATTGAAGTTGATAAGGATAGCTTTGAATGGCTTCAAATAGATTTTACAGAATTGAATGCTATAACAGCGACAGCAACCCAAGGTAGACATTACAAAGGTCATGTAAGTATAAATTAATACAGACAGAAAAGTACAATATATACTGTATAGAAAAGAAAATTCTTTTCGTTATAAATGATGCAGTTGTCTTTATATCATTATCATTTGAATAAAATAAATAGGGACAAGAGTTTACAAATAGTTTCTACCTCCAATATAGAAGATTATCGAGCGAATCATGGAAGAATTATACAAATGAAAGGGGACAAAAAGTAAATATTATTATAAAATATACAAAGTATATAATTACTGTTTGATATAGTAAAATTTTTTAAATATTTAATATTTTAAGTAGAATAGTTTTTTGATGATTATTTTTTTCAACAGTTGTTGAAAGGAAATTCGGACGTTTATTCAATTAATAAGAATTTTCTTCATCCACCAATTATTGCTCGTAGCGTTCGATTTGTACCATTTTCCAACGAAAGGAGAGTGGTTTGTATGAGAGTGGAATTATACGGTTGCATTTGGAAAGGTTTGTTATATATAGAAATAAGGCACAGCAAAGACTGCAAAATAGAAAAAAAAACACCAAATGTAGGCCTACGTATATATATTGTATAGTCAGACACTGTTTTTCTATGTAAGCTATAAAATAGATATCTTTATTTAAATAAAAATGACAGTAAAGGCAATTAAGGATAAACGGAAATTTAAAATATTGGACTAAGTGGAGTAAATGTAGAAATCTATATTAGAATAAAATGTAAGAATGATAAAGGTTACGTTAACTTTATCAGTTATGAATAGGTTCTTTGTAGAATATCAGATAATAGGATTTGGGTAAAAAATTGAATTTGAATAAGGATATTATAAGCGACTTGACTAACCGTGATTGATTTAATTTCTCTTGATAAATAGATCAACGGCACTTTCTTACTTTCTCTTACAGATGCATTGCTCTCTTACTCTATTCGGCGGGGGGACAAAAGAGGTGATATTGAGCTTATAGATTATACTTATGATGGTATTTTAGATAAGGTATATCTGAGAAATGGACTGGGTCAATTGGTTGATGGAGAGTATGGTATAAAAAACTTTCGGAATTGGAATGAAAGGATTAGTAAGTTGTTTTTTATGCTTTGCAGATTATTAGATATCTATTATTTATAATAACTTAAATGAATATATTTCTTCTTATCTGAGTTATTTTTCTTTATAAAAATACAAATAGATTGATGTTGACGTTTCTCTTAGGTCTATAGGTTTTAGATGCTCACGAAAGAAATCAGTTAACGTTCTCTCTTGGGATTTAGACGCCGATGTTAGAGCTAATCTACTTCGCTAACTACGCGAGGGTTTTTTAAAGCTAATTTTATTTCGAACCGTTATTTTTTACCATTGACCTTATTATAATCCCGAAAGTATTAGCAAATTTTCAATTCGTATTCAGTCGCCTATTGGGAAATTGTAAAAAAACAAAACGGAGAAAGTAGAATAATAGGAGTTTATACCAGTTTATCGAATCATTAATCATTTGCTATTATCCTTAAATAACTCAATAAGTTAATAATTATAACTGTGCTATCTTTCTTTTTAATACCTTATAGAGATAAAGGGATATCCCTGGGTTGGTTGGAAAAGAATGATTGATTCTAATTGGTTGCAAATAAACTTCCAGTTTGACTCTTTAAGAAAATTCTCATCTGTAACGATAACTTCCAATCATAATCCTAATAAGAGAATATCTCTATTTAAAGAAATTCAAATCTATATAAATAACTCGAAACATCAGCTTTTATCTAAGCCTATAATATATAAGACCAAACTTCAGGACCAAAATTCACGTATAATCAACACAACAATAAATTTAGATAATCAAGTTGGAAATTCCGTCCTTATGAAATTATCATTTGGTTTAAAATGGATATTAATAAGTGAAATAAAATTTCAATGCGAAGATGCTAATGACTTTTTAATAAAAAATATCACCAGTACCAATTTAAGGCAAATTAAGAATAAAAGTCATCATAAAGTTATTATTGCTTGTATGTTAAGTACTTTTATGGCATTATTTATAGTATTTTTGGCAATATATTTGACAAAACGTCATCGTTGTAAGAATGTCAAAAGAAACAAGCAAGATCGTCATATAAATTCAAACGTTTTATCGGATAATCCAGCGCTGACAGAGAGATGGGCAAGAGATAATATCGATGAAGAGTTTCCCATCTATTCAGATATTGACCTTCATTTAAGAGGGGAATCGTCACCCATAGTTATTTGTCCTCATTCAGTCGTTTTATCTGAGGAAAATAAGACTAATGAAGAGGACGTGGATAACTTTGAAAGAGAGAATATAGTGATCAATCAGTTGAAGGTTTTAGATGAGAATTTCATGGCTAAAGTAGATAAAATCGGCGAGTGCCGTTCTATTGAGGTTAATCAATCGTTAACTAAAGATTAAAATACTTAAAATATCATTGTTATAAACAGATATTCGTGGAAGATTTAAGTAGTAGGAGTATTGATGAGCCATTTCAAATAATCGTTAAATGTCTAAGAGAAGAAGTGAATATTAACCAAAGGTCTTTTTCCTAGAATTAAAACTTATCATCAATTTGAATTAACTAATTAAATTATTTAATTTATTCTTCTATTTTATTAGAATACATCTCCTAAGAGATATTTCTACGTTACGATCTCTAGATCATTCAAATATACTAAGATTAACCGGATTAATAAAAAGAGGGGAAAGAATTATTGGAACGTTCACTCATTGCAACAACTACAGAAATCTTCAGGATTTTCTTCAGGAAAATGAGTTTACTCCTGGGAAAAATTCAATTAGGTTTATAAATTCCACTGTATAGGCTATATTAAAACATCTTATATTCCTTGCAGTTATGGAGCATTACTATATATATCGTGTCAATTATCTTCATCGTTGGAGTACTTGGAATCTGTTCAAATTGTTCATGGTGACGTTGCATGTCGAAACTGTTTAATTGATTCAAATTATACAGTTAAATTATCAGATTATGCAATATATCTATATAAATTTAAAACGAATTATATACAAATAAATGGAAAGTATTACGCAATAAGGTGGACTTCTTGGGATACGGCCTTATTGGTATTTATAAAGCTTTCTAAACAAACTCATTTCGTCTGTAAGTAAAAACGTTTCATTTGCTTTGCTCCAGAATGTATTCTCATCGAAATCGGACGTTTGGTCATTCGCAGTAGCACTATGGGAAATTTTAACACTTTGCAAACAATTACCTCTTCACGACTTAACTGATGAGCAAATTATGGAAAATTTAACAGCAATCTACTTGGAAAGAAGCCAAAAAATATACCCTAACCAACCGGCCAGTTGCCCCAAAGAAATTTACGATCTAATGATGGAATGTTGGAAAACTTCTCCCACAACCAGGCCTAATTTCATCGATATTCATAACTTTTTGCATAAGAGACACGACGGTTATCGATTATCATGCTAACAGATGGTCTACGATTATAGATGTATTATTTTATATATAGCCTATTACACGTTTTACATATAAATTTCTTTTAGATGTGTAAACTATAAAAATTGTAAATACTATATATTTCTTTTATATATTCGAATATAATTTATTGATTATATCATATAGAGCGACTATGATAGTAAGCCATATTTTTCTTCTAGATTAGGCAAGTGAGATAAATAAATAACATTTAATTTGTATTTAAAAAATCGAGTACACCTTACAAAAGTATGAATAAATTAATTTTATTGATATTATAATTGAATACTAAACTTATAAACCAGTAAATTTTCCTTTACGTAGGTGAAGTTTAACTTGTCAGTAGATGGCGGTAAGAATCAAAAAAGAGAAATAAGAAAGAGATAAGAAAAGATATTTGTATATTTTAATTGTCTAATATTACTTTTTAAAGTAAAAACTGACAAATTATTTTAATTAAAGCAGGACTTTAAAAATAAATAGATAAATAAATAAGACATGTTTACTAAGGAGATATTTGTTTAAGATATTTTTCTTTTATCTTTTATCTTCATACTATTTTCTATTTTGCTTGTTTGTAACCGCCAATTTTACACTTGCATGAGCCTATGAAAGAACAATAAAACAATAGATTAAATATTATAAAGAGCTATAGAAAAGGATTATAGACCTGTCCGTGTGCAATGAGATTAACAATGGCATTGTTCATGGATTTGATTATAACCGACTTGGTTTATATTTTCTAATAATTGCTTTAAAATGTACAGTAAAAATATAGTAGATATTACCTATTATACTTTCTGTATATTGACAACGATTTGCTAATTTTATTCCACTTGACGATCATGGACTCCAAGAAGGTCGCAATTGAAGAAGAATTATCTTACGATCCTAATGTTGTTAATTACTTTTATCTTATTGAAAAATATGGATCTGAGGCACGGAAAAAAATGGCAGAGGCTAGAAATTACAGGTGTCTATTCATATTTATGACTTTTATTAAATGTTTAGCACTTTTTTTTATATATATATTATCGTTTAATGTCAACGTTCCTATTTCGTTCCTTCTTTCATGACCTCTTTTGTTATAAAAGTGACTACTTTTGATTAACTATTCAAGCCCATTATCGATTATACCCTCCTCTTTCTCAGTTCTAATGGAAATAGTCTCAAAGGCTAGTTAAGTCAATCTAAATTATAGTATTGTTTGTTATATAATATAAAACTATAAATTAATCATTTTGTTTTATTCAAACATGATAAATATCTCATTTTGTATTGGTAAAACTTTTATCTTTATTGATCATAAAGAATAGCTGATTATGAAAAAACTTGAATATTGAATTTCATGATTTATATATTGATCACGTATAGTTTTAATTGATACGAGAAGAAGAAGAGAAGATAAATTCTACTGTCTATTTGTGTCTTAAACACAGTCATTGACTCTTCTGTCATTTGCTACCTTGTGTTTGCGTTTTAGTCTTAAAACCAAATATTCAAAGAGTAATCCGATCATGATCTTAGGCCTAAGATTTCATAATGATATTAAATTTTTAAAAAATTTTTCTTTTTCTTGAAATCATATTTTAAAAAAATATGTTAAGTGGAGAAGAAGACCAAATTAATACAAATCTTTCTTCGAATAGGAGAAAAGAAACTGATCACGTTATTTCTCCTGGTTCTCTCATCAGATTTAAACTTTCAAAGGCCTATAAATCCATGGAGAAACAAGAAGTTAAAGCTTGGAGCAAGCCGAATGTTCAAAAGGTTCGTGTTAAGAAAAAAAGAAAAGGCGAAGGATCTATCAGCGTTAATGATTCTATGACTTATCATTCGGATAAATCTAAAGATACCAAAAGTAAATCAAGTAGTAAAAATGGAGGCTCATTAACTATGAAAGGAGGCAGTCAAACTAACGAACGTGATGGCATATTGTCACCTCCTCCTGGTGATCCGAACGAAAATTGGGACTATGTTCGGAAAGCTCTTCCATCACCTGAAGATCAGGACAACATACCCGTCTTTAGACGACCAATAAAAGAACCTTCTGAAGGGGTTCCAGTGGAAGTTAAATGGAAGAAATCAACTAATCAATGGTCGGAAATGGTTAGGTCATATCATTCTAGGAAATTGATTTCAGCAACAACAAAACTGTCATCTCGAGCGCCTAGTCCAACTCCAATCTATTCATATCCACAAAGGAAACCTACGCCAAGTATTTACATAAGTTTCTTTTCTCATTATTTCTTAAGTAGATAGAGTGTTTGCGTCTCATTTATTTTTGAACGTTAAATTTACAAAGATTAAGTAGTTTATAAGGTTAATCCGTATAGTCTATCTAATGTATCTTTCAGTAGATATTTATCGAATAATAAGATACTTAACAGAACCCTTAACTGAACAAGAGGAACTACAATTGCTACTAGATCCGAATCGGGCCGAAAAAATGCAAAAGAAAGAAAAAATAGTTCAAGAAGAAAGACCAAAAATTGAAAAGAATTCTAAATATGGAGTACTAGATAAATGGAGGAGAGGAAATTCTATATGGAAGCAAATGGTTAGAGTTCATCAAAGATCTAGAATATTGGCCGCAACGACCAATCCTAAAATAAAACTACGTCAGGACACGAGAGAAAATAGCGTTAAAGACTATGAAAGTACAGGCTCTTCGAAAACAAAGACTTTAACTCAAAGATGCTCATCGGCACCTCCTGTGCCATTTACTTTTAAGAGAATAAAATTTAATATGCATCCATTTGGTAGAGCTGATAAGAATGACAAAGAAAAGGAGAAAAAAAGGCCAAAGAGTGCACTAAAGGCTGCAGAGGAAGTAACAACAGAGCGTCTTACGGAAGAGACAAAAGTTGTCATAAGCAAATCTTCACTTAATAGGTTATGTTTCACTTTACTGCGAAATGAAGGTTTTGAAATGATTTTAAGCTATATTAAGTGCCTTGCAAACGACAATCAATTTTTGCTTCAGATAGGCAAACACTCGTTGTCGTTGCTATCATGGAAATATATAGCAAACAAAGAGGTTGCTATTGAAAGTTCTATAACTTTATGTGTTTCTTTATTTTAGTTAATTTTTCAATTTCAATTAAAGTGAAACTTGACCTATTTATTTTTCTAGTAAGAACAGCGTTAAACAATCGATTTCCAATTATAAACTTTCAAATGAAAATCATCAAGATAATAAGATACCTCCAAGAGTGTCTTCGAGATGTCAATCGAGGCAGTCCAAGCAAACTGAATCTAGGAAATCTTCAAGGCAAGAACAACGAAAAATCAGTATGCAAGAACGTCGTAAAAGCGTTATGAGCATAACTGAAGAAAATAAGGAAAAGAAAAATAAAGAAGAGGACGAAGAATCAAATTCGGATGCCACATCCACAGAATCTTATTTATCATCTGCGGCGAGATCAAAATCTAGGTCCACTTCTAGATTGTCAAATACTGGAAAGTCAAGTCAGTTAGGTTCAAAATCAGCTAGCATAAGTGGTCAATCACTTAAATCAAGTGAGAGTAAAACCGAAAAGCCAAAAAAAATTAAACTTTGCAGATTTTATTATAAACTCGATAAATGTAAGTGCGTTGGCAGTAAAAGAACAATGGATGCTTTAAAGAAAAAGAATAAAAAAGTAACTTGTATTCTTTAGTTTTATTTGGCGAATTTTTTAAATACGAACGATTTACTCAACAATTTCATTATGTTTCAGTATACCGGAGTGATAACTGTTTTCGATTGTAGAAAACCCGGAGTGGACGAAAAGTGGGATGACGTACTTTGTCCTTTTTGCGATGTTCAACCCAAAAGACTAATAAATTCGTGGGCAGAAGATCATATGCAGTCAAGGCCAGATATTGCTCCTGGAAGGGAGCAGCCTCTCCCACCTCAAAATCCTAAAGTTCGATTTTTATTAGAATCTCGAGGAAGTGAGAGTGAGACTATTCGTCCGTCCACTGCGCTTTCTCAAACTAAATCCAAAACTACTGCAAAATCCTCTATTTCTTCCGGTATTCGTGTTCAAAATAATCGATAATTATATAAGCTTAATTGTAACCTACCCGAGGTTTAAACTATTTCATTAATTACAAATTGAATATAGAAATGATTAAATGACTAAGTACAACTCCATCTGTCGACAATAAATATCATAAAAATATTTAATACATAATTATTCAATGTTATATGTGTCTTTTTTATTATCTGACCACTTATGATTGATTAATATTTTGTATTAAGTAATGAAACCGCTAAAATCTACTTTTCTTCTCCCTGGCATATCGACTTATTGATCCTTTACTCACTTTATTCGGTTTTATTAAACACTCATAACTTGTTTACAAATTACTTTTTACGCATTTAAAACAACTTTAGCACGAAATTGCTTAAAGACTAATGAAAAGAGAGACGAAAGAGAAAGAGTGTGAAAAAGATTGAAAGAAAAAAAATAAAAGAAGGAAGGAAGGAGAAGAGAAAAAAGATATGAATATAATATAATGAGAGAGAGTGGAGATAGACAGAAAGAAATGAGGGGAAAAGGGGGAGAAAAAGAGACAGTATATATATATATATATATATACAGTATATAGTATACAGTATGAGAGAGAGAAAGAAAGAGAGAAAGAGAGAGAGAGAGAGAGAGAAGGTTGACAGACAAAGTGACTCCTTTTTTCTTAGAGAAGATAAAGAGAGCTATAAAAAATTGACGCTATAATACTTAATATAAAGAAAATACTATTTATAATTAATAAAATTATTTTTAAAAAACTTAATTAAATTTACATAAAAGACATTAAAATAAAAAGAATAAAGAAGGAGAGAGGGTAGGGGAAAGACGAGGAAAAAAGCACTTTTGACAAGAAAGAGCTTTTATCAGTGTAAAATATACTTGGATTACTCTTTTGCTTTTTACTCCTTCCATTCCCTGGACCTTTTAAAAAATTGTCACAAATTCTATTTTATTATAATACTATCTAAGTGAGGCTTTTCCATTTATTTTTTACTCAATACATGAACTCTTTTGCAATTGCTTTAGCTTCTTAAGTAAATGGTACTACAGTTTTCTCTCATTTCAAAGCCTAATGTAGTACATTGGTTTAAGGAGCCAGAATAAAAGAGAAATCGAAATGAAGACTGGTACAAAAAATTTTTTCTCTTTCTTTCTATCTTTCTCTTTTCTCTTTTTTTTGTATTCCATTTATAATCTCTTTTCCTTTATGTCTTTCTCTTTATCTTTATATCTATCAGTATTTCTCTTTATACGAAGCCTTTATTCTTTTATTTGTATAAAAAATATACAAATGTTTACACACATCATTCCGTAATGTACGAAGCTCCTATTTGTTGGTATTTATTATAGTTATAATTATTTATCTATACGATGCCGTCTCTTTATTCATTTACGTAATTTAGCGAGGGAATATAACAAAGAATCTGCTTTATATCAATATTTTAATTATACTTTAGTATTCTAATTTCTAATAATACCTAATGACAATGTAATATATCCTCGGGTTATATGTGTAATACTGTGTATCTTAATTTAAAAAAGAAAAAAACAGAAAATTTTGTTTATCTTTAGCTACCGACCATCTTCCTTATTATTTTTCTCATAAATTACGTTGCGATTCCTAACGATTTGTTGTCAAGGAAATTCAATTTCAAAAATGCTTTCAGGCAGTAAAATATTTTTTGCAGTAGGGATTTCTTTTTTTCTTTTTTTGTAAATAAGAAATTATGATTTTGACCTAGTTTTTAGATGACTTATTTTTTTAATAGATATATATATATATATATATATTTAAAGGTTAAATTTTAATATATTTAAAGAACTTTGTTTAGTTTATTATATAGTTTATAATAATCTTTATACTCTCTCTATAAACATTATATAATTTTTAAGTAATAAATTAAATGGGAAATCCTAATCAGAGAAGAAAAGAAAGAAAAACATTTGATTTACATACACTATAATGGCTATAATGGCTATACTAAAATGATGTTAATTAGTTATTATACAATATATATCTATACATATTCTGTTTATATACAGTATAATATACATTACTTATACTTTTTATACTATTTGCATATTCATATTGTTATTTTGTTTACGATATTTTCAAAACCTATTTTCTATGCATTTTATGGTAAATATTATACTCTAGGCACAAGGATGGCTTAAGCGCTGTGCACCTAAAATTAGTCAAGCGCTAAATCCTTTTTAATTTTCGTCAAGGTCACGTGATACTAAAAGTTTGATTTTGTTAGATAAACGTTAGTAAGAAGGTATTGAACTTGAATTAATTCTAGATTGAAAATGCTCAAAAAATCGAAGTTGTTTAGTGTAAATTCGATATTTCAATTATTTAAAACAACACTTGAAGGTTGTGGGAAAATTAAGGCACGCAAATAAATTTATCGATTTATCATGGAATGATTCAATCGGGATTTTTCAATACTATATTTGTCTGTTTTCCCTTTTGCTATTAGCCGATAGGAGGAGCAGTTGTAAGACTGTGCATAAATTATATGCAAATAAATCTCTTACATTTTGGAATACGAAAAAGTGCCCAATAGCAGTTTTTTGTTTTCGGCGTAAAGAACACAAGAATTCCAAATTTCAAAAACTGAAAATAAAGTAAAATTAACAGCAAAAGGTTTGTTTGAATACTTTTTTTTTTAAAAAAAAAACTTATTCTTACTATTTAACATTTAGTATAGTTAGATATTTTAGGTAATCTTTTGAAGAATTGAACCTTATCTATTTACCTTTTTTATACTATTTATTATATTACAATCAATTTTTTCGATTTTTTTTATCAACCTCTAAAAGGAAGTTTAAGTTAAAATTCTAAAATGTATACAGCATATATACTGTATATAATAGAAGTAACAAAAACAAAAATTGGTTAAATTATAAGCAAAATAGAATCTTTAAATTTATTTTATTTAATGAAAAACAAATGATAAAAAGAGACGTTTCATTCTCGAATGATCCTAAATAATGAAGTAAAGAAAAAAAATCTAAATAGACTATTACAGTTGAAATATCTTTATAATATATAAAAAAGACAGGAATTTAGTTTGCAATATGTGGAAGTTCGCCATACAGTAGATCTAAAATATCAAAAAAGTCGCTTCTATAACAATATTCAGGCCAAGTTATTCGTAAGGAGCAGTCAGGTACGTATTTAGTTGCTGCTCTTTAAAAAATGGGACATGATTGATTAGTTGCACGTGTTAATGTTATTTCTTTATTCTTTTATTAAACGAACAATTGAATTTCATAATATCTTTTATATTTTCTTTAAAAACAAAATAAGTCAATTGTTTATAGACAATTTCGACAGCTTAATTGTCTTTTTATCTCTTAACATATTAGATAATCTATAAGAGTTGAAGATACGCAGATTGGAAGAGAGAGAGAGAGAGAGAGAGAGAAGAGAGAGAGTGAAAAAAAGGAGGAAAATAAAGACAGCGAACGAAAGAGAGTAGAAAGGAAGAAAGAAGTAACATAAAAAAGGGATAATTTTGAAATAAATTATACAAAAAGAAAAGGAAAAAATGTCCAACAACCATGTAGGCCTCACTTCGAAGGAACCAATGTTAGCCGAAAGTGAAGGAAGAATGCAACATATTTCGAAAACTAAAAGTGTATTATTATGGATGAAAAAGAACTTATTGCTGGAATTAACCGTTTTAGCGGTGCTTATTGGAGGTGTTTGTGGATTTCTTGGCCGTTTAGCTAATCCAAGTCCCGATGTTATACTTTTAATATCTTTTCCGGGTGAACTGTTAATGCGCATGCTTAAAATGCTTATTCTTCCCCTGATAATTTCATCTCTAATTGGTGGATTATCGCAATTAGACGCTAAAGAATCTGGAAAAATGGGTACTAGATCATTAGTTTATTACTTTGGAACAACTATATTAGCGGCTATTGTGGGCATATGTTGCGTTTTAGCCATTCATCCAGGAGATTACGGAATAAAACAAGAGTTAGGGACTGGTCGAAAAGAAAAGACGGTCTCTACAATGGACGCCTTTTTGGACTTGATAAGAAATTTATTTCCGGAAAATTTAGTTCAAGCCTGCTTTAAGCAGGTTAAAACTATATTCGTTTCAAAAGAAGAGGATTTAAAACCTTTAGCAGAGAATTCAACCAACTTTCTAACAACAGTGGTGACACCTTTTGGAAATTCATCGAATGGAACCGAAGAAGCAAAACCAGTTAGAAAATTGGTATATAGTGACGGCACAAATGTTCTTGGTTAGAATATCTAGATAAAAAATAATTTATTATACAAAGTATTTTTGAATGTGTACATAGGTGTAATAGGATTCTGCATTGCTTTCGGAATAATCATTGGTCAGATGGGAGAAAGAGCGAGGGTAATGGTTGAATTCTTTCAGGTTTTAAGTGAAATTGTTATGAGATTAGTTAATGTAATTATGTGGTAAGCTACTTTTTATTTAATTTTATTCAATTATCAAGTCTTTCAAGTTTATTTGTTCCCTTTTTATAGGTATTCACCCTTTGGCATCATGTGCTTAATAGCTGGTAAAATAATGGAAATAGGTGATTTGGCAACAACAGCAAGTCAACTTGGTCTATATATGTTGACCGTTATTGTTGGCTTAGTCATACACGCCTGTGGAACTTTGAGTCTGATTTTCTTTATCACAACCCGTAAGAACCCATTCAAGTTCTTCCGGGGTTTCCTACAAGCTTGGGTTATGGCATTAGGCACAGCATCATCAGCAGCCACTCTTCCCATCACTTTTAAGTGCCTGGAAGAAAATAACGGCATTGATAAGAGAGTCACGAGATTCGTTTTGCCAATCGGAGCAACAGTTAATATGGATGGCACGGCATTATACGAAGCCGTAGCTGCAATTTTTATAGCACAAATGAACAACGTGCATCTAAATGCCGGAGAAGTAATTACTGTTTCGCTAACGGCAACTTTAGCTTCAATTGGAGCAGCTTCCGTTCCCAGCGCCGGTTTAGTTACAATGCTATTGGTATTAACTGCAGTTGGTCTACCTACAAAGGATATTACATTAATCGTTGCTGTTGATTGGCTTTTGTAAGTTACTAAAACATTTTAGACAAACTTATTAGTATCATACGATGTACTTAAAAAAAAGAATTGAAGAAACGGAAACGAAATGAAATCTTTATATAAAGTATGAATTAAATTAATTCGATTTTCTTTATAAAGGAAAGAAGAACTTATATGAAACTTTATTTAATTAAAGATAATTATTTCCGACTAGTAATTAAAATTGAATAACCCATATAAGCGTCTCTAATAAAGAAATAGTTTGTTATTAATCTATTTTTTTTTCTTTCCTCCTTCCCCTCCCATCTAAACCCGTTCTGCCTTTCCGTCTCCTCTCCCATTATCTTATTAGAGATAGGATACGAACATCCGTAAACGTGATCGGCGATAGTTTTGGAGCAGGAATCGTTTACCATCTATCGAGGAGGGAGCTAATGGAACAAGATAGAGAACGCGAACGGCTAGAAGCGTCCGAAGATATGACAGAATTCTCGGAAAGTAAATAATAAACTCATTAAATAAATAAGAATTTTTTTTAACTATTACTTTCTCATTGATTTTTCAGCTCCCCTTAAGCGAAATAGTATGTCCAAAGCAGCAAGATCGAAAGGCGATTGGGTTTAAATTGAAATAGAAATCCATTGTGTTATTTAGCTTTGCCTAGTTTACATAGAAATGTAATATTTTCTACTTTTAACTCGTAATGTGTTTAAGTAAGAGCGACGTAGAAAGCGTTTCTCTTGGAATGGAAAATGACGAAGTGTGTATTATATTAATTAAGCCTACTAAAACATTTAACAAAGTTTAAATTGTAAATGATGAAAGAAATAGAATAAAATTGTCTACAAATTTTTAATTAATATTAATTTTATGCATAGATTTTTTCATCTTCCATTCTTTACATATTATTATTATTATTTGAAATTTTAACCACTTAATCTATATACTTAATATTTCCTGAATTTCCAAATTATATAGTGAAGAAAAAGACAAAAAAAGGATAATTATTGTCTATATAATGAATAAAGACAAGGGTAAAAATTATATATATATATGTGTGTGTGTGTGCATGCATGTAAGAGTGTATCAATTTGTTCTACATGATCCTTACATTTGTATTACTGAACCTACCTGCAGTTTGATTCTTATTAATATGTAACACCTTCTAAGAAATTACACTGGAGAGGATACACTGCATATTATATTGCATTGTTTAAATTATGTGTAATGTACTATACAAGTATAATGATATATACTTCTACATGACTATAAATAAATAAATATATATATATGAATCCTGTATACTTATAAAAATAAAGTGAAAATATATATGAGTAAATACCGTGCAGTGTACATATACATATATTATATATATATTTTATTGTATATGCATTTTTTCCTCATGTTTCAATAAATATTTAAATTCTTTAAAAAGTCTATTAAATTCAAGATATATTTGATTTTTTCTTTTCTTACAAAAAAAGGGAAAGCATTCACTGTTTCTAGTAACTTGATTCATTTATTTCGTATATCTGACGAAATATTATTAAATATAGTATATGTCTAAATATATAAATGGTATATTTATATATGAATGTAACAAGATATGTAAATAGAATTTTAAGTCTTTCTAAATAAAATATTTAAACAAAACAAGAGTATTTTCCTGGCATATCGTGTTTATTGCACTATCATACTTGATTTGCCTATATTATTAAGATAAGTAATTCAGGTAAAAAGGGTTATTATTAGTTGAATATAATACTGAATTGCCTATATTGATCGAATCTTAACCTTTTCAGAAACAATTAGGAGATTAATCCTTGTGATTTGTTTGTTAAAAAAGCTATTTATCGATTGTATATGATAAATTTTAATTAGTTCTGTTTTATTTCGACAACATCCGACGAAAAGCTAATTCATGACATTTTACTTTACAGACAAATTATAAGTAAAAATAAAAATTAACTACCATTCTGGAATAGTCTAGATATTCTGCTTATCACAGACAGTGAAGCTGTTTACTGCAAATATATATATTAGCATATATACATATAATACATATACATATATATATATATATATATTCTTTTCGTTTTTGGTCACATGGCTTGATTTTTCTATGTTTGAGAAATTTTACTTAAAAGCAACAAAATAAAAGAAACGTATAGGGAAAAGAAGAAAGAACGAGGCAAAAAGTTTCATAGTTACATTTTGCCTTATATAAAAATAAAATAGCTGTGGGAAAAGTAGATAAAGGGGAAGAAAGAAAATAATATTAACAGGTTTCTTTCATTTCAATCATAAGAATATTATAGATTTAAAAAAAAAGAAAATTTAAAGACAAATCTAAAAGATTCAAATAAAACAATGAAATATTGATAAACTAGGTTTAATTACCTTAATGAAGAAAAAAATTCCTATTATACTAATTACTATATATATATATATATATATATATATATATATATGCTGTATATATATTATGCTTTCGTTTCCTTTATGACCTTTAAGTATATAAGCTTAAAGCAAAAATTGTCTTAAAAACTAATAAACTCAGCAACTATAATTTGCATATCTTAGTAATCTGTATATACTGTAATATTAAAGAACTAAACAATTGAACAAGATTCATACTGTCTTTAATTCTGCTACTAATTAAATAAAGGATTTTCTCATTAAATTGATTTCTAATTTACTTTAGTCATTATGTCATTAGTCTACTTTTTAATTTGGCGTTAAATTCAAATGATCTCTTATTCAATTAAATCATTCATTTATCATAGCATTTGAAATCTCTTTTTCTATTAATCATTCTTTCCCTTCTCCAAACATATTTTATCCTAAAATACTTTTCTGAATAAAATTCTTAGAAGTGGTAAGAAAAGTAATTAAAAATACAAAGTACAAAAAAAGAAATCTTTCTGTGATTTTATCTTATTAATGCCATCTTGTTTTTCTTTCTTAATTTATAGAGAATTTACTCATTGTTTCTCCTTTTAAACATATTTCTTTTTCTGCCAATTTATGGAAAACAATATTTTTAATACATAGCAAAAAAGAAAAAAAACAAAAAAGGAACTAAAACGAATTTATAAACAAATGTATGTTTCCCTATCCACCAGCAAGAAAAAGAAGAAAAAGAATAAAAGGCCATTGGAACATTCTCTTAATTCTTTTGATTTTTGTTGTTTCTGTTTGATTTACTGTAAGATGGAAAAATTTTCTGTGTACACTGACTTATTTTATAGCTTTTTCATTTTGATATCGTTAACCAGCGTATAATTAATTTTTTTTTAAAAAAACAAAAGAGTTAAAATATTAAAATTATTCATTAAAAAAAAAAACAATGTCAGGTGACCAAAAACTCGTAAAATTTTGATTAAATATGATAAGAAAAATATTGATATTCTTCATATTTTTCAACTTTCACATTTAATGGAATAATCTCACGATTAAAAATTGTCATAACGAAAATGATTGCTATTGTCAATATTTATAGCATTATTATATACATATTTATACAAATATATATACATATATGTTTATATAAATATGTATTTATAGATTCATTCCACTCTAAGGCACATATAGACAGATACAAATTTATATATATAATTATGTAAGCATTTATATATATATATATATATATATATATAAATTAGTATAAACATTTATATGTGCTAACTTTTTTTTATTTACATTTGTTTACTATGTTTGGCTGACTTCTTCTATCTTCTCCTTTATCTCTTTTTGTTGTTTTCTTTTGTTTAGAGATTGCAATTTAAATTATTTCTTTCTGATAATCTAACGGCTTCTGACTCTGTTGAATGTCTTCCTAAAGAGAACCAATGTCTTGTCTATTTAAATTTAAATTGACAAATAAAGCACATTTGTAAAGTACGTTTCGTAAATGATTTAAGGATGATCTATATTATAAATATATACCTGAGTTCGCTTAGCTCTTTGACTGCGAATTATGCTACTTTGTTCCCAGGTTGGTGATATGCTAAGGAGAAAACGCTAGAAAGAAAACATCAGGAAGATTAAAGTAAAATGATTTTTCTTCCATCTTTTTAAAACAATCTATTACAGTCAATATATTAGATTAGAATATGTACTGTGTACCTGTTTTATTGTTCCTTTTTGTTTAAAAAATATATGATATATGGCATAACCAGGAATTAGTATCATGGAAGCGGCTGATAAGGACCAACCTATTGCGTAACCTAACTCTGGATAATGATACCTTCCCCAGGAAGCATCATATATGAGTGGTTCTTGTTTTATTAAACTAGAAACTACAATCGTCTGAAAGTAATATGATTTAATATATTTATTCTAATCAAAATACTATCTCTATACCAAAACAAAAGCAGGACTAATGAACTTCCAGCAAATTCTCCAATATAAACTGGGTCTAAATCCCAGCATCTTTTCAACATCAGTGCAAAACTGATCGAGGCCTTTAAAAATAATCTATAATTAATTATGAAACTTACATCTTCACGAAAAATCGATTTACCATAAAACCAACTGACGGCAACCGCTTCTGAGAAGACAGCAAACAAAATGGAAGTTCCGGCAGCAAACTTATCGAAAATATTAAACACGTACATTCCTCCCTACAATATTTTAAATATTAAAAATACATAGCTTAAACTAAATGTAACTTTTACGATATTTACATTGGTGACGCTGGGAAGGGCAAATGCAAAAGCTCCGAGTATAGTTATAAAAGTTATTAGTTCCCTTCTATATCGGAAGCTTTTGAGGAAATTTCTGTTTTGATCTATCACTCCTGTAATAACCGATTCCAATCCTCCCATCTGTTTATAATCAAAGAATATAATATTACTTTATATTTTTTTTATACAAATCTTTGAATAATTTATTTTGCAAATGATACCATGGAATTTTTTTTTCTATATATTTCAAAGTACAAACTATTTATGTATTATTTAGATTTTTGTTAAGAAGTTGTTGACATTTTTGCAACAGATTAATCAGTAGACGGCTAAAAGGTTTTTTTTTTAATTTCCTAGTCTTTAATATATCTGTTTTTTTTCTTTTTCTCTTCCTTTCTCTCCTCCCTCTCTCTCTCCCTCCCTCTTTTTTTCTGTCTGTCTTACTTCTCTCTTTTCCCCTCATTTCTCTCTTTCTCTTCCTCCCTCTCTCTTTTCCTCCCTCTCTCTCTCCCTCCCTCTCTCTCTCTCTCCTCGCTCGTAATATCTTGTTACTTTAATGTGTTTAAGATTGAAAGGCTTTATTATCTCTACAACCAGTAGATGGCGCTTCTGGTTATCTTTCTAAAGAACATGTATTATTTGCTCCCTCTACTTTACATACGATTGATAGAATTTAATTGAACTTACGGCACTGTCCATACCCAATGTTATGAGCATAAAGAAAAAAACAATAGACCAACCAATAGACCCCGGAAGAGTTGCAATAGCTTCCGGGTAAACTTCAAATACCAATCCAGGCCCATCGACAGCTACCTGTTCAATGTTTTTATTTTGTTTATTTGACATATAACCCAAATAGCAGAAGATGACGATGCCCGAAAAGATGCTAGTAAAGCTGTTTATGCAAGCCGTAAATAAACAATCTCTGTAGCAGTTGTTGTTGAATTTGTTATAGGAAGCGTAAGCCAAGTGCACTCCGAAGCCGGCTCCGACTGAGTAGAAGATTTGAACAGCTGCATCAATCCAAACCTTTAAAGAAAAAAAAGCGTTCAATAAAAACAATTAAAATTATTCTATAGAAATGGAGAGACTGTATTTTGTTAACGTTGGAAACACTCGAATTTCTCCTTAATTTTGCTAATTTCAACCAAATGCAAGTAAACTTTGACAAACAATTTCAACGTATTCACCAACACGCGCTTACAACATCGATCAAAAACTAATAAAATTGTAGCTTACCTGCGAATCGGCTAATCTATGAATCTTTGGCGTTAGAAAATATAAAATTCCGTCTGTTGATCCAGGTAATAGGAGTCCTCTAACTAACAATATACTAAGTACGACGTAGGGCATGGTAGCAGTTACCCAAACAACTTTACCGCTAGATTTCACACCTAGATGAAAAAAATGTTTAATCATTAATAAGGAAAAATTAGTTTTTATTAAGGAGAAAAATTGGCAAAAGAGATGATTAATGTTATTTATTAATATTGTTTTTTGCACAATAATGAACAAACCTTTCCATAATGAAAAATATAAACAAGCAAAGACAAGCATCAAGCATAAAACAAGCTCCCATCTAGGACTACCAATATCGTGTATTCCAGTAGAATTTTTCAATCCCAAAACTCTCATTTCAAAAAATTCTTTGGCCGGAGAAGTTGCGTTCGTCAAATTACTGTACAAATCACTGCAATTGTCTGTATTCCAGATATTACCGCAAGTTGTCCAGGGTAGTGAAGAAGTAAATGAAGAGACCAAATAGAAAAATGACCAAGCTATTACAACATTGTAGTAGAATGCTACAAGATAAGCGATCAGACATTCGGCTAATCCTATGCCTTTAAGAAGAGGTACAATTTTCCAAACTGAAACGGGACCTTGTCTATGGAATTGGCCTAGGATGAGCTCCATAAAGAATAATGGTACAGCGCCAAAGATTAGCATAAGAAAGTAGGGTATGAGGAAAGCGCCTGTTTTTATGAGAAATCAATGAAGACAACATTAGACTTTTAACCGAAACGAATCAAACAATTAACACTTAATAGTTTATAGCCGTTAAACATTGGTTCGGTTATAAAATATAAGCATATAGTGTATGATTTACACTTGATCAACAATCATTTCCTTCTTTTATTAAAGTTAACAATAATTTCATTTTCTAATTAATTTTTTTTTAGTGAAAAATTACCATTTTCTTTTTTATTAGCTAAATATTTGAAATACGAAGTGACAATGGTATTGATAAGTAGAAATACAGCATGAATAAACTAAAAAATCCCTAGTCAAATAGTACAACACTTTTTCATAAGGTTGGCGTGAGTTCGTTAAAAACGTTCCGCATCCAAGCATGAAGCGAAAGAGGAAGAGACGGAACACGATCAGAGAAAATGAGCTGTGACGCCGTTGACCGTATCCGAGTGAAATATTTTAAATTCTTTACATTATTTTTTAATTTAGTGTTTGGCTAATAAAGTAAACATTAGGATATAAAAAAAAACACTTATCTCTGGCAACAAATTGCATTAATTGAATTTTTTTTTAACAAGAACAAATCTATACTAAAAAAAATTCTATTTTCATTTTATTCTTTTTTTGTTCTTTCTTCTATTTTTCTTATTTTAATATTAATTTTTTATTTGACAAAAGAGGGAAAGACAAAAATTTACCCCCTAAATCTTTCTAGACCGGTTAATTGTGTCATTCACCCATTATCGCTAATTGAAACGCAAGTAATTACCCAACTAAAATGTTATATATAAAAAAAAGTAAGGTGTTTTATTCGTTAAAGAAAGTGAAAAAATAAGGACATTGTTAGCGAGACTCGTCTATACAAAGGTTGGCAAGTTTTCAACCCAAAACGGTCCTCGATACTTGTTTGTCAAGGCAAGTTCGTTGCAGTCGAGCGCCACTCAGCGTCCGCAAACTTTACGCCCTTCTGCTCATATTCTATAGGGCGAAAAATCGGCTTTTTTCTAATCCACTATAGGCGGTTTGTCGTTGACAAACACCACTCGAATAGGCGATTTAAACGCGATACAAATCGGCTTTAGGTCAAAAGCTTGCCACTGAAAAAACTGTTAGAACAATTAGGCTGCCGATCTGCTGGAACAGCTGCAACTCTTACACAAAAGTGTTTTCCTTAAGTAGGCCTACGTGAAAAACTGACTGGCCCCGTTATTTCCTTGGAGAAATGATATCAAAATACATTGCACAAGGATACCTAGATTGAAAACTTGAGCCACTTGATACGTCAATAGTTCATCCTCATTTTTTCGTCTCTCTTTTATCGATAACCGTAAAAAATGAAACTTTCTTTTATCAAAACTGAATATATACCTTATCAATATATACTTAAACCGTTCTCTTTTCTCATTTTCGCTTTTTCCATCTCTTTTCTCTTCCCTTAATTAAATAGTTTCATGCCTTATCCTTTTATTCTTTCCTACTCGGGACAATTTCGTCTCTCTCCCACTCTCTTACTCTCTCTTTCCGATATATGCCTTTCCCCTTCATATTGCTCTCTCGCACACTCTTTTTGCTCTTTCTCTCTTTTTCACTCTCACTCTTACTCTCCTCTCTTGCTCTCTCAAACTTTCGCACTCTCTTTTTCCGTTTCGTTTTTTTTACCTCAAATAAATTACGGCAATTAATTGAAATGTGGCGGAAAACTTGCTTATTTTTATGTTTTCTTTACTTAAAGTTTTTACTTTTTAACACGAAAGCCTACTATTATATATTAACAGACATTAAGTCTATTCCAAAGCCATAAAATAGAATACTAAACTTATTTTACTTTATCCTCTTTCTTTATTTATTGTAAAAGTTTGCAAAGTTTTTTCAACCACTTACCTCCACCATTCTTATAGCAAAGATATGGAAAACGCCAGACATTTGCCAGATCTACAGCAAAGCCGATAATAGATAAAAGAAAATCCACTTTTTTGCCCCAAGTTTCTCTTCCATCTAATTCTTCTTCCACATCTGAAGACCTCTTTAGCAAAAGTCCTACTTCCTTTTCGTCCGATTGAGGGGAAGATCTAGTCTCTTCCATCCTTTCTACCTTCTCTATTTCATGTTCAATAAAGTAAAGGCAACAGAGGTTTGTAATTGTTTGTTTGCTGACCAAAACCGTATTAAGTTTGTCAACGGCGCCTAGGTAAACAGCGCCGCCTATATTCAATCTCCGTTACAGGATAGGATACTAATTTTTTGTGTTGTCCGATTTGTATTCGGTAATTCACTAATCGATTGGGGTTTCAAATTTCAATGTCAAAGGTTTTGAACCGTCAAAGAGTTAAATTCTCCTCGATCATCAAAAATTTTCTATAACCCAATTTTTTTCGTTTTTCTTTCTATCATCTCTTTTTTACACTTTTGCCTGCTCTCTCTCTCTCTCTCTCTCTCTCTCTCTCTCTTTTATTCTTTTTTTCTTTCTCGTGCTTTCTATTCCTTTTTCTCTCTCTCACCTTTTCTTTATATCACCAACCAATCTTTCTATCTTTCCCTCTGCCTCCTCTTTCTTTTTCGAGATCTCATTTTCATTTTATATCTCTACATATCTTTCTTTCTTTCTCTCTTTCTCTCTCTCTGTCTCCCTCCCAATTTTTTCTTTCTCATGATCTCTCTTGTATCCATTTTGCTTTTTCGTGTTCGTTCTCTCAAGTCTTATTTTTTTCTCTCTATCTCTTCTATTTCATCTTTTAGGAAAAATAAGCAAACCAAAGAAATTTTCTTTTCGTGCCGCAGTCGTTAAATAAGATATAAAAGAATATAATTAGTGCAATGAAATTTTCGCTTGACAAAGTAATCTAGTAAAAAAAATTAAATAGGCGCCATCTCATGGGTAAACAAGTGGTAAACAATTTGGATGATATATTAAAAGGTATAAAGACATGGATAGGGAAGGTTTAAACTTTATAATTAAAAGGAAATAAAGGGAAAAGAATAGTACTATAAGAAGTGAATAATTGAGAATGAAACTTAGAACTTTTTTCGCTTTAAATAGAAATCAAAATCTGAAAATGAAAAGAAAAAGTAAGATATATATTTATTTCACATTTTATGATAATTTAATTATCTTAGTCGTAAATTTTGAAGGTTTTTCATTGTGTTCTACTTTCTAATAAATCGTTAAATGTTCGTATTGTTTGTACAATTCGAAATCTATTGTACGAACGATTCTCTTTGGTCATAAACTCTTTATCTCTTTATGGTATTTAAATGGTGTTTATTAATCATGCAGTAATATATTTTTCGATCACGACTCCATCTGTGGGTACTTTTGACTAAACGGCCTTGATTTTGTTATATAGGTGTTATATGAGAAATTTTTTTACTAAACGCGTTCTAAATTAGGAATGATGTTCTTTTTTTACTTTATATTTTTCCTTCTGTATTAAATAAACATTATAATGATGGAAAATACAGAAAAAGAGAAATTAGGAGAACAGTTGATATATATATATATATATATATATATACAGTATATATATGAATAATAAAATGCTTTTATATAATCATAAAATTTCCTACCAATTTTATATTAAACAACACATATAAAATATCTAAAAATGGGGCCATAAAGGTAAAAATCTCAATTAATCTTTATATATTTTCTGGGGGAATCTTATTCTCCTTAAATACTTGATCAAACACTTTGTTCTGTACTTAATAAAGAAGGTTTAGCCACTTGAAATTGAGATTAAGTATGAACAATTGAGTTAAAATATTAGATCATTTTTGTTCTAAAACAGATTCACATTTATTGTACAGACAGAGTTTACGCCATATGCTATTTAATATCTAATTTGTTTAATACATATATTATATTAAATATATTCAAGAGAAAAAGAATTAGCATGATCTAGAAATAATCTTTTAGTCTTTATCAGCGATTTGCTTAACTCTCTACTATTTAGATACATTGATTTATATAATTTCAAGGTGGGTGGTCTAACACTATAACTATTTTGGTAAAAACAAAATGTTTCTAGACACTTAATTAGCAAACTTTTATTCTTATCATGCTTAGTTTGCTTATAGGTTTATGTATAAGCGTCAATATTATTTCTATTATCTTTATATTTTTAATATACAAACCGAAAGATTTGTTTCAATCTTTGGCTTGTTGTATCCGTAAATATTTTCTTATATTTTATGTGTCTGTTCACGTGGCGACATCTGCTGTTTTAGGTTAAAAATTTGTAACAAGACGAGATGTATAGAATGTTTGATATTTATTAATTATGCTTGTAATTAAATATGTCGTACATATATATATGCAGTGTATACGTATATATATGCAGTATATACGTATATACGTATCTATATATGATTTAGAGAGTTCAAATAAATACTGCTAATTGATTCTTTATAAAGATAACATTGCATAAAGACAGTACAGACACCGAAGCATGCAGCAAATTTTATTAGTCATTTTAATCCACCCAGGCATGCTTTGGTAAAGTAAATGAAGGTTCTTGTTGATCGAAACAGCAAGACTGTTTATCTTTATCCACTAATCTTTTTTCCAAGTTTTGTAATATATTTTGTAATTGTCCATTAACAGGCACCATAAGAGATGAAGCTCCTCCTAACATTTGAGTATAGGCCTTCCTTAAATTGATATTTCTATCACACATAAGAAATTCTAATATCGCCAATGTTGATAAAGGTGAACCATCTTTGCAGTAGACTAAAATCTTTTTAGTATTTTTAAGACCACCTTTTAAAGGAATTTAGAGTGAATAATCACCTATTATATTTTCTTTCACTTGTTTAGATGAATATAACAAAAAAAAGGTTAAAATAGAGAATATTAGACGAGTTTATGTACCCACGGACCCTACGCCTTATACTATCTACTGTATACTAGTCTCTCTGGCTTGTACGGTAAACGAATCATCCATGAAGTTAATTTATTGCATACTTTTCTACTATGTATAGTAAATCTAGTTTACATATTAAGACTATAAAAAATATAGTTTATATACCTAGCAGATACAAATTATAAAAAGAGAACATCTAGTTACGAATTAATCCTATGTTGATAATAAAGCCGCAAATAAAGCGTAATTTAATCAGAATAACGACAAGTACAGCGTATTTAACTTTCTATCAAATTTCAACAGCTTGCATATTGAAAGTATAATTTAAGCTTTATTTTTCCTTTAACTAGAATAAAGTCCTGTTTTTTCTTAATTTAATCGTAAAAATAATATTTCAAATATTATTTTCATCTTAATAAATACAATTTAAGTAATGAATCATTTCTTTTCTTCTTTCCTTTTCTCTTCTTGCTTTATGAAACCAGTACTTTTTTATACTGTTCTTCTATTAAAAGACTTATGCTATTTTTGTTCATTTCAAAGGATTATGGCTATAAATATATGTATATGAGTGTATATATCTAATATATATATATACAAATATATCGCTTCTGCGTCTAAATTTAAATAGCTAATTAAGGTATCTGTTCTATATATACATATGTACATATGTACTGTATATACTGTATATATATATCTTTATAAATATGTTGACTTGTACATAGTGACAATAATAAATAATAAACTTTTTCATTCTAAATTCCTTTAATAAATTTGTTAATTTTTTCTAAATTCTCTAGCATTTCTTGATGATGTTTAAAGTCTATGTTTAATCTCAAAGCGGCTCTTGGATGTTTATCAGCCCCGCATGGGCACGGAATATTAGAGAAAGGTGGAACTTGTTCGTTTGTCAAATCGACTAGGCAGGAAATTTGAAATTTACAGAGCATTCCTTCGTTTAAAGCTGCTTCTCTATTCCCAATATATAATTGATCTCGGAGGACAGGCAATATTAATGGCCTACCTAGTCCACTATCATCTCGGAATTCAGATGATCTCATTGAAATTTTCAATATTGGAGAATCCGATAAAGATTTTCCTAAAGGTTTTTTCATATTTTGAGAATGTTCATGACTAGTTGTAAATAAATCAGGAACTTGTAATAAGTTTTGTCCTCTCTGTCCAGAGGATATTGATTTATATTGTAATCTTGCATCAGAAGAAATCGAATGCCTTATTGCCGTTTTATTAACTTGCTCCCGCTCATTCAAATTTGGGCAGGACCCAGATGCCACTGATGGCTTTTCTGGTTTTTCACAAATACTTACTGGAGGTATACTTTGGCGTCTCTTTTCGTTTGTATCCAAACGGATTGTAATAGAATCAGTTCTTCTTAGTAACTTTTTCATAGACATTCTGTAGATAAATTAATAGTTATAATTTATTTTTCTGGCTATGGCTAGCTGGATGGAAATCAATAATAACAGCGTCTCTAGGCAATGCGCTTCTTGCATAGGTAAATTTTATGGTTGTGTACATGCATAGCTGTATATAATATTTATTGATTTACTTCCTTGACTTTGACATTGCTCTTTTTCGCTTTTATTCTTATTTTTTCTTAACAAAATTACTCTATTCAACCTCTCTAACGAGATTGAAAAAGATATTGACTTTCTTCCTTACACAATATTGAATACTTTATGCATTAAAAAAATAATGAAAAACTACAACAGAAGGAAGACAAGAAAGAGGAAAATGTGACAAGAGAAAAATGCAAAAGGGAATATGACGGTTTGGTAAATAAGTATTAGAGGATTGGCAATAAAGTGGCAAAACAATTTTTTACGCATTCGTTTAAAGATGTTTTGGAAATGGATAGGAGAATTCCCCAAAAAAACTTGTAATCAAGTAATTATAGAAAGTAATAGAAATGCTGAAATCGAAAATAAGACACCTTTCTTGAAAGGATGCTAAATACAGAAGTATATAATTAAAATCTTGTAATTATGGTTCTAAAACATCTAATCAATATTTGGAACATATTTATAATATCGCTATATAATTTATATTCATATGAATATTGCATCTATTAAATATACAAAATGCAGATATTCAGGATCTTTAACATTTAGACCTTCCTCAATAATTTTCACAAAGCTTTTAGCAAGGTAATCATATTATTTCTTATTAATCATTTATGATATCGTGACGTGGCTGTTGGAGAAGCGGATCATAGAGGTGTTAATTTTATCTTTATAAATATATTTATTGATAATTTTTAAACAAATATGAAGACAACAAACAATAGGAAAAAACTTGTCTATTTATCTAAAGAAAATTGGTTCTTATTCAGCTCTTAGATAGTACCAATAGAATGTTTATTTTGAATACTTCTTATATTCTATGTATTATGCACTATGTGTATTGTGTATGTGTGTGTGTGTGTGTATTTATGTATGCACCTATGCATATACGCACATGCATGAACGCATTTCTATTATAATATGCAGTTCAGATATAGTTGACATAAAATAAATGATATTTTCCATCGAATGGAAAATATCTTTTGGTTAGAAATGAATCTATTTTGTATAAAAATAGTTTAGCAAGTAAATTTATTTCTTTGATTTTTTTTATCTTATTTTGCTAATGATAAGAAGTTAATAATCATGTTAACTTGAAAAATTATCTCTAATCCCTCATAGCTCTTTAGGTTGTAAAAGAAAATGAGAGAGAGAGAGAGAGAGAGAGAGAGAGAGAAAGAGAGTGAGAGAGATACTCTGTCTATGAACGGATTGGAAGAGATAGGGAAAGAAGAAAGAGAGAAAGTAGGATACGAACCGAATTAGTATTCTATTATTATATTTATTCAGAATTAACACAAAGTCATATCCATACAGTGTGAAAACTCTTTAACAGTTCTTTCAGTTCTTTATTTATATAGGGGTTATAGTCCAACTTTATTTTATATTAGTATCACAAATATAGAGGAATTCTCCTACAATTGATAAACTACAAAACAATAATAAATAAAAAAAATTTAACTGTAAAGTCAACTTCTACTGTTCACCCTTGAGAGAACTGCAATATTTCTCTTATGAAAAGGTATTCATCAAATAACGCAAATTGTATATCCAAAAGAAAAGAATACTAATATCATAGTGTACTCACGCATACAGATGAATAAAAAACACTGCCGTGTTGCAGTCGCATAAATCAAACTGCAATTAAGGCAAGAATGTCGATCAACAGCTTTTATTAGATAAGACTGAGTCGGCGACTGCACTTAGTTATGTGTATTGTCTGCGAATTTATTGCAGACTGGTGCTGCATGTTACACCTGATTATATTTTTAGCATCACTTATACGAGTAAACGCAGTGAAAAACATTCTTAATTACTCATTCAAATAAAATGCATGCTTATTAATTTGCTATTTCTATACTGGTTTGGACATTTTAACAGTTCGTTTTATAACTATTTCAATCTAATGCTTTCTTTTTTGAATTAGATGCTAATCGACTTGATACAGAGTTTACCAAAAGATAAAAGTAACCTTTTTGCATTGTTAAGAGTATTTGTCTTCTATTCTTAGCTTTACTTAGTTCGTCATATATGATCTGACTATGAAACTAAAAGAACATAGGCTGAGAGAGGCTAAATTTAATTATGGTTCGAGTATACTTTTATTTTTTATCCTTCATATATGAATTTTTGCGAGCTATTTGTAGAAATTCAAACGTTTTTATAGTGTATCTCTTTAGCATAGGAAAGTATTCTTATACAATAAACTCAGTCATTTATTTCGAGAAACCTTTACTTCAAAAACTTTTTTTTTGTTTATCTCTCGACTTTAGTTTATAAAATATGCTGTAGAGGGCATTTAGAACAGAATAAAATATAAAGCTTTATTAATATACGAAATGAAATCAGCAAAAGCTCAATTCATTAGATATTTGTTCTATTTTTAATAATCTTTATCTTTTTCACTTTATAATAAATAATTGTCTATTCTCTAATAATCCTCTTAATTCGTCTGAAATCTCTTACTAATTATTCATCAAGGAGTCTCTCATAATTTATAATATTAACTTCAATTGAATTCCATTTCACACTTAGAGAAAGTAAGCGTTTACTTTCGAAAAAGATTTATAAAAAGTACTTTTAAAACAGATAGAAACAGGAAGGAGAAAGGAGAAAATTAATGCATTTCATAAGTTTCGAAAAGGAATGCGTTTGCATAATAATCCTTCACTAAAGCAAGTCTGCCTTGGGTCAGATTTTTTTACGCTTTATTTACATCATAGACCCTTTCTTCATAAAATTGTTTTACAGCTTAAATAAAAACAAGAATATTGTAATAGCGTTTTAATAACTTCATATATATACAATATATATATTAGATACAGATATACAGTGTATAAATATATAGCTAATATTATAGCTAGTATAAAGTTACACTATAGGAGTTGGTTATAATAATACTAAATTAATAGTAGGAGAAGATTAGGGATGTTTTATATAAGAAATATATAAAAAAAAATATATACGAAGCAATACTTTAACATTGAAAACATACATTTATAATTTATTGTTAATAATCAAAGCTAGTTACACTATTTTAAAAATTCTCTCTCTCTCCCCCCTCCCCCTCTCTCTCATTAGGCTTTAATAACCTACAATTTTGTATATATATACTCATTTCCATTCTTTCTATTTTTTATACTTCTTCTGTAATATTAATTTACTTATAAAAAATTCTTATATTAATAATTATTTATAACATTTTGACCTAAATTTCAGAAATACAAGTTATGCAATTATTATTTCTTCATGATTTAATTTATTTAATAAGGTAAATTAAGTATAAAATCAGTAGTATAATAATAATGATACCTTTATTTAAGTTTTAAATAGAAACTGATGTTGTTTATTAACTATTTACAATATTTATGAAGAATATTGTTGTATAAGGCAAAAAAGACACACTATTCTCTAAAATTTCAAAAGATAAATAAGTTTAAATTCTATCTAGAACTTATCTCACATTACATTTTAAAACCATGCATGATGTCAACTAATTTCTAATAATTTACTATTGTTACAGGACATATTCCCTAGTATACTGTACATATTATAAGACTATAATGCTCCCTGTACCACATTTTATAATGTAAATTTAAGACAATTGAAAATTCCCGCCGAAATTCAAATAGAGAAATACTAACAAATTCGTTAAATTAGAAAATATCAGTAATTTGCATATTGTATTGGTAATTGAATCCGTCTTATTGCAAGGTTTCAGTTCCTAAGCAATTCCAAACCACGTTCTCTTTAAAAATCTTGATTTTATCAACAGCTTTCTAACAACAGTTAGGCCTCTCTATCTATTGAATACAAAATGTAGTTTAACGCCATGATGCTACCTTCACTACATGTAGTAGCTCTCTTGGTATACTTAGAAGTATGTCGTTTTCTTTTCCTCTTACAAATTATCTCCTCTCTAACGGTACTCAACTTATATTAGTCAGAAAATTATACTCTATCTGTAAAACGTAGATAACCTTGAACAAATTATACACTTGTAAATTAAAACAGAACATGGTACAATTCTCATTTCTAGGTAAATTTTGCAAAATATAACTAGTTCTCTCAACCTAGGAAAATAGGCCCTCTATTCATTGTTACAATGATGTTAAAACTCGTCGTGCATGTGTTTGTTTGTTTGTTTCTTTAATGAGCCAATTTAGCTTCGCCATTTTATTTTCGTTTTTTAATGACGAAAGCATACTAAGAGTTGTTTTTTTTATACTATTACAAATCAAAGGGTTTTTTTCAGAAGAGCTTTTGAATTTGTTATGCAACACTGTAGAATATGTACATTCGTTTGTTTTTAATTATTCAAATGCAAGTAGACAATGTGTAAGCATTATGCCTACAGCAAAAATTGTAAACTCTTAACGATTCGTTCAGCTTAAATGGCGACTAGATTTTTAAAGGATCAATTCAATTAAAAACAAGTATTGAATCCGCTAGTAATGCATTGGAAATATATGAAATGATATGATTAGTAGGATTGAATATATATTGGACAAAAAAACATTAAATTTACCGTTAATATTTGAAGAATAGAATTATTTAAAACAATGCTATACATACATTTTGTAAATAATGCAGCCTAATTAATAAAATTGGATAAAGAGGGAAAATATGATGCTATTAGATATTATTACTGTATAAAGATATGTATGAAATAATTAAAGAATATTATCATAATAGATGGATACAGGGCTGGCAGAAATTCATATTGGAAACTAAATAGGATATATAAGATTAAAGTGGAAACGAATTTCAATAGCAGGAGCATTTAATTGATGAACTTCTAAAAATTATCTTGATCCCCTGACGACATCTGTTAATTTATTAACAAGTTGAATAGATATATAGGGTTTAAAAATGATTTAAAAACAACTACAATATCAATATTAAAGTGAAAAGAAGAGGTTTTTACATTGTATCGACCTTGGTTTTTATAATAGTAACCTTGGTTCTACAATATGGCCCAGGGGTGAAACTGAAGCTTTGATTAAGCTAGATAAATATTTAATCAACGAGGTATTGCTTTATATTTGATTTGTTAATAACGAAAACTATTATGGTCTCAGAATATTGATTTATAGAAAGGCCTAATTCTCTTCCTTTCCTCATAAATTTAAAAAAAGAAAAGAGCACGTTTATTAATATTAGAAATCAAATGCATCGATTATTGTGGAGCAATAGAAACGATTTTTAAATATTATATGTTCATTTGTTTAAAACTGTATTTTTTTATTCGGATGCTTTACCGGTTCGATTCTTCTATTATAAATAAAATTGAAAGAAGATAAAGAATGATAAATTCGTTAAATGCCACCTTATGACAAAAATTGTAAACGATGAGATTTAGTAAGAAAGATCCCTTAATTGATTTCATTACGAGATGGAATAAAAACGTCTAAATATACTGTATTTTATATTTGAATAAAGCCTGTTTTTTCTACTATAATCAACCAATGAAATAATATTGCAGAGCTAAAGAGTTCAGCAGTATTTTTGCTGGCTACAATTTATTATATTTATAGAAATAAGAAAAACAATTACAGTTAATAAATTAGAAATTCTCTTTATTTTTTATATTGGAAAACTCCATCATATAAGTACCATTACTATTATCTAAATTATTTAACGCAAAAGGATTAAATAAGCATCATCAAGGCTTCTTGAGAAATTACTTGCTAATATATTTCATTATAGAAATTGTAACATTAAATCATTAAATCATTATTTTTAAAATTTAATTTATGTTATAACAACGGATTTTTTTAATATTGAAATACATCAACTTCATTAGGTGGAAGAGGAATTGTCATATTGCAATGGCGAATATATAACTCTTAGCTTAGCTTTTTAATTTTTTTACAATATTGTTTTATGGAAAATTCTCATAAGTGATGTTTATATGTTTATTATTTAATCAAAGTATTAAAATATGTACCAAAGCATAGTATATCAAATTGCTGATCTTCCTCTCTTTTAGAAATTTGTACTATAGATGCACGAAAGAAATATATTCTTGATTGCTTATTGGAGAAAATAATTGAAGATATATTTACAGAAATATTCAATAATTAAGGTATTAATACCCCTCTATATTTTCTTAATATAAATTTTTTTATATTTCCATTCAGCGTAAATTGCAGGTTATGGAGAAATTGTAAATTTTCACAAGCTTTATGAATTATGTAGAAAAATTCTCTTATTGTATATTTTCCTTTAAATGATAAATAGTTTTGATCAGTATCCAGACAGTAGCAGCCAATATGTAAATTAGCTTGCATTACAAAAGATTTTGCTATAAAATAATAATTTTAGGTTTAATTAGGGATATTTTAATATAATAATATAATTAACTTAATTTTCTGTTTTCATACAATATATTTTCGTGTAATTTCTCTCTAAAATAGAACGAATAGCGAAAATTTAATATAAAAATGCTTTTAATTATGAAAAATATTATCAAACTTTTCCTCCAATTTTGCCAAATTCCTCTGTTTTAATCTAGCTATTAATTGAAATATCAAATCAACAAGATTTAATATCGATATGATTACAATCTCCCAATTTTCGAAATATATTTTAAAGTGTTCATATTTTGAATTATTATAATACAATATAACATCTATAAGGGAAAACAATTGGAAATATACGTATCTATAGATTGTGTAAAATTCTACAGTATGCTATACTTATTATGAATATTAATATCCAAAAAAAATGTCTTGAAAAGTTTGTGAAAATTGTGAAAATAAGCTCGAAAGTAGATTTTGCTTTTTCAAAATCTTTTGAATATGATATTCTTTGAAAAGTTAATAAGAAAATTATTAACGTAAATATGAAAGCCATCGTAAAGTAACAGCTAAAGAAAATCACAAATCCATCTCTTTTAATAATAAAAGATGGATTTACTGCAAAGATTGACAAAGCTAATATTGAATGATCATAAGTTTCCTGGTTTTGAAAGAAAATATATTTTAATTAATATATTATTTCAAAAAGAAATAGACTATGTACATCTTTAAAATAACAGAGTATTAAAGAGGAAACAATACTGATAATAAGAATACCGCAATGGAAAATGTTTAATGAGATTTTACTGAAAAATTTTCTAGTTCTAATGATGTAATATCTTTTTCCAACAGTAAATACTAATAATAAACTTGAATTTAAAACATAAAAACTAAAAATAACTTTTAAAACAATAAAATAAAAGGTATTTATCCAATATTTTCTATTTTCATGAAATGTATAACCAAACATTTCATGAATAGAAACAATACATATTATATATAGACTAAGTAACATATCAGAAAGTACTGATATAAATGAAAAAACATCAATATTATTCTTAAAACATAGTTTAATTTCCAAGTATAACCACAGAAATTTTCCAATTAGACCCACTATTCCATTTATCCATAAAATAACTCTTGTTGAAGTGATTTGTAGAAAGTATTGACATTCTCTTGAATTAGTACTTGGAGAACAGTGTTTTATTGATTCTAAATAATTTTCAACAATACAGCAAATATCCTTATATTCACTATAAATCAATTGTAAATTTGTTAAACGTTTTAAATGAGACGTTGTTAATTTTACATTAAAGAAAGATCTATTGAAATAAATAATTTCAATGTTTGTTAATGAATGAAATATTTCTTTGCCAATTATTCTAATTGAACAGTTGATAACTCTAAGTTCTTTAAGCTTTTTTAATTTAGCAAATGTTAAATTTGTAAAAGAATGTTGTTTTATATTCGAAATGTCAAGAAATAGCAGTTCTTGTAGCAACCATAAGGATTTTTTGTAAATTTTCAAGTTAAAATTACCGTTCAAATTCAAATATTGTAACTTCAAGAATAGTGAATGTTGTATATAATCTAATGACTGTATATCATTATATCGCAAATCCATTATAATCAAGTTTGAAAATTCTAGAGAGCTTATCGATTTAAGAAATCCATACGAAATATTTAAGAAAGTGTGTAATTTCGAATCTACAAATTGAATATTTGTTTCTTTTTTTACTCCTATAATTGAAACGAATTTATAGGACGGTGATATGGTTAAGATATCATTGGTTCTTGATTGCAATGAACAGGATAATTCATAAATTTTAGAACAATCGCAATATTCTTTACAGTTGGACAAGTGATTTTCTTCTATATCACAAATCATTTCATCGTCACCAAATAAGCAATTAACTATCTTATCACATATTTTGCTTAAATTTAAGAATACATTGCTTTTCCTACATTTATAAAAGTATTTTGGAGTAAAATATTCTATAAAAAATGCAATATGATATTTTAGAGATGTATTAGATTTTCATTTATTTCACCGCAATCCTCTTCGTCGTCACCCCAATAACAATGAACTACTTTATCGCAAACATATTGAACAGGAACGCAATAGTTAACATTTTTGCATTGATAATCACCTATTTTGCATTTAGCATTAGTACAATTTAATAACTCTTCAAATGGATAATTTGCTTTCGTTAACGCTTGATTGAGTGAATCGTATTCAACTCTACACTGAGTAGTATTTTTAGATAAATGTTTATGTCTCGCATAGTAATTTCTTATGATGTGATCTTTTAAATCATTTTCACAACGATCTAAATCTCCACTTAAATATAAAAGAGTCAAATCTGAACATGCATTGAAAACAAGATACTAAACGAATTATCAAAGCACATTAATTCGTCAGTGAGGGATTCGCACTGCGTTACAAAATCACATTTGTATTCTCCACGTATGCACTTTTGGAAACATGAATATTGCTTTATTCCGCACGTTCTATCTAATTCTTAATATATTTCAATAATAAATTAGTTTTTGGCTAACTGGTACTTATTTTTGAAAAATTCTTTTATTTACCTGTATAGCAGTTTTCATCACTTGAATCAAAGCAATGTCTTTCATTATCACAAAAATTGTTTGATTCTATGCATTGACCATTGTCACATTGGAAACTGAATAAATCACATTGAAGAGCTTGAAAATATTAGCTTTTTTAAATAATAATTATAATCACTTATCAGAAGATTCACACTCTGAAACTACATAGAGAAAAATAGCATTAAAATAAATGCATTACATATATATATACAGTATAATTGTTAATTGTCTCTTTTTATATTTACAGCAATTGCTTTCATCTATTTTATTTGAACAATCAAAATTATAATCGCAAACTTGAAGTAAAGGTATAGTTTCATTTGGAGAGCAATGAAAGATTTTTATTTCATCGCAATTCTCTTCATCATATCCAGAATAACAGTCAATGTTTCCATCGCAAACACTCCAATAAGTGATACAAACTTTTTCAGGTTCGCAAAGAAAAGTATTGAATGGACATTTTGCAGCTGTTGCAGATAATATTAAATTACTTAAATTTCGTTTTGGGGGAAACATTGGTTCTAGTAGGGAAATATTATTCCATTACTATAATGTACTATATATGCTTATATATTTTATAACATCAACTTAATATGGATTCACAAATGACTTGGGAAAACATTTTAAAATCGCAAGATGCCGAAGAATAACCCATTGGACCAAATGCAGCGCACTTAGTTACAGGGTTCCAAAATTCTGATCGTCTATATATCAGTAAGAAGTTAATCTCGCATAGTCTTTGAATTTTTTTTCTGATTAAATTATTATTAATAGATTAAGAGACAGAAATAATTGTATATATATTTTTAATTAACTTAATAAATTCAATATCTGATATTGTAATTAAATCAAGAGGAAGATTATCCGATGTAGAAGGTATTGTAAAGTTTTTGGAATGGATTCTTTTTATACCTAAAAATGTAGAAATATTTAATATATTGCATTACACTGTCTTTTTCATACCAATAGGAAAAATCTTTTCACTTTTAAAAAAATCGCCTAAAACATAAAAAAATATTAACATGACAGTGTATACAACAATATTAAATTCTGATATTAACCTGAATATTTCCTTACTGATGGAAATAGATTGTTATCATCTAAAGTCTTTCCAAATTTTTTTATCAGTTTATATTCAAAAAACAAGTTTCTTTCCTGAAATGTTGATATCCCAACAAGTGACATATTTATACTTTTGCAAAATTTCTCTGATTCTCTGTAACTTAATTTCTGTTTAAAATGTTTTCCGTAATAACAACTCTTTTCCAAAGAAAAGTAATTTTTCATTGGACAATCTTTAAATCATTCTAAATTTGAATATACTTTATTTTTAAATGAATTTCTCTTCTTACCAGTATGATGATCATTGAAACAAATTATCTCTAAATTAATATCCTGGAAGGCAACTTGGGAATTTCTTTGAATAGTACAATCGTATAAACTTGTTGGATTCTTCGGGCAATTAAGTATATAAAAGTTAGTCACGACTTGTGTCTTTGATATATCCAAGAACATATATGAACCAAAGCTGTAGTTAAAGTATTGGCAAAGTAGCTAAGTAGTAAAATTTTTAATAAAAGTAAATTCCTCTGAATAAAAAATAATTAGTTTACAACTTTTGCTATGTGACTATCAAGAAGGGGAGTTTGGACAAAAATTTTCTCTCTTTCATAATCCATAAATAATAATCCTCTAAGAGTATTGGGGATTTGTTGATTGTAAATATTTGATTGGCTCTTGTTGGTGTCGAGGAAACTTTGCATATATATTTTAGCAGTCTCTTCAGTAAAAATCATACGAATTAGACAATACACAAATTTTAGTAGTAAGTGGGTATACTTGGAAAGTTTAGACGGGGTTGAACTGAACATTTAATATTGCAATATGCTACATGATTTGCTTTAAGATTCTGTTCTACTTTTAATGTACATTGTGAAGCCTCATACACTTTTTCAGGACATTTCAATACAAAATATCCATGTTTTACATTCCATTCGCTGGTTACAGGTATTGATTTACAAGGTTCGCCGGAAAGAAAACTATAATGTGATACATAGACTTTACATATAAAATTAAAAAATGATTTCTCATTTCCATTAGCTTCCAGAATTAGGGATTGAATTCCATACTTAAAGTAAGATACAGGAACAGGAAAATGTGGTTTATTATCTTTTCCAATGAACTTCTTTGGTGTACGAGTGTAATCATCTAATGTTGTAAAATATCTCATGTCTATGAAAAATAAATGTACGTTTATGATGTCAAAACAGATCCTATTATTTTTATACTCAGGAGATGTTCTCTTTTGCATTTTACGAAAAGTGTTTTAATATCTACTTTCACAAGATAACTATTCACACTAAAACAAGTAGATTTTTCATAATTTGAAGCTGATCGATTGAATACTCTGTCAAGGTAGAAACTCTTTTCACATTGAGACGCGCGGGATCTTTCTCCTTGGCGAATGCAAACGCGATACCACTTGTCATTAGAAAAGCTATACAACTGGAGGGGATTAGTTTCTTTAAAGACGAAATATTCTAAGTTCATGAAAGTAGAAATGTTACTAAATTAGAAACAGTGAGGTAATTTTAATATTACCTGGCGAATATCCCGTCAGACATGAACCGGAAAGAATAGTCCTCACAATATTATTCGTACACGTATATCTTTCACTTAAAATAAAATAGAATTAAAGTAACCTTTATCTTATACTTATTAATATAACAATTCATTTACATATTACAACTTCCAATATTGTTTTTTTCCTTACATATAAACCGTACTATCTTTTTAACTGAAAGTCAATTTAGATATAGATTAAATAATATGTATAAATTTATATGCGATATCTTATTACCTTTTAAAACTTGATAAACTTTATAATAATAATCGGAATTAAAAAGAGAGCTCGAACAAGTGATTTTTATTATTCCAGAATTTATTTCAGTATTTATTTCATCATCATAATTTACAGATATATAATAATCTTTCTTTTGAATAGATAAAGTAATTGGTCCGGTTAAAAACCTTTTTTCCAGTACAGGCTGAAAATAAAATTTCATATTTTTAGTAAATGTTACATTATCCAATTTTTTGCAGTTGTCTCTTGAACAAGTTAACTTGAAAATATTGAATAAAATAACAAGATTTAAGAACATTATGTTAAATAATAATAAACAACACAAGAATCTCATTTATACGCAATCAAGTAATGCATGAAATCTTATATGACTTTAATTATATGAAAATATTAGAGACAATTTTTAATGTTCATTAGATTTTATTAAAGTATTTGAATAAACAGTGTATCTTAACAGAAATTTCTTCATGATAGATCCAAATGTACATATATCTCTTTTTTCTTTATTATCCGTTGTAAGGCATAGATTATAGGGGAAAATTAATATTCTGGATCTTTTCAACTGTACAAAAAAGAGCAGAATAAAGAATAAAGTAAACGTTATATTTACAGACGTCAATAATCATTGTATTTTCATTGAAGTTTCCATCCAAACATAATTTATATTTTTCCATGAAAATTAATATATTATTTAATAATTTACATAGCAATAATAATTTATAGGGTCTTTTATAGTTCTTAAACAGTTTAAATTGTTTAATATATTCTTGTAGTTTACAATCTTTGCATATACAAAATTGTCTTTTATAATTAAAAAATCCTGAAACTATTGCAAATTCTTTAAGCTTTGAGGCTAAGAATTAATTTAAAAATTATTGATTACATAATTCTTTCATATCTTTTATCCTAAAATTGAAAATCTCTCCCTCCCTATCAATATTTTATATATGTATAATTAAGTATATTATAATAAGTTGTCGATTGTTTAATTATATACTTTTGAGCTTTTTTATTCTTCCTTTTCTTTTTAAAAATGCTTCTAACTTCACCAATAGAATAGATGAATGGATTTATACACGAATTTATAGGAACAAAAACAATTATTATCCAAGCGTATATAGTATCATCAGCCACTGAAACTCCTAAAGTAACCAATATACCTTTGGAATACATAAAAACTTTATGTGCACTCTACATATAATATATTAGTATATGTATCCTTTGCTCTTGTCAATGTCTACCTAGAATAGATATAGGAGTCCAGCATAAAACGTTTGTAATAACAATTAATAGACTATGGGATAAGATTTTTTGAAGTCTTTTCTTATATTCTGATTCTTTAATGATAGTTTTGGATTTAAGTATATTTTTAGTAATATTCATATAAATTAAAATTATCAAGCCGCAAAGTAGTAATGTAAATAAGCTGAAAGTGGCAAATGAATATTCCCATCCTTCACTTTTTTCATTAGTTAAATGAAGAGAGAAACAAACTGAAGATCTTGAAAAGTAATTCTGTAAATATTGTTTAATTGGTTTATGTTTATAGTACTAATTAATATTCACTTGGTTCAAGGAAAATGGTATTATTGCCAACGTTAGTGATATTACTAATATAATCAATAAAATTGAAATAGCTTTGAAGTTTGTTAAATATTGACTTTTAAATGGATAACTGATAATGATATATTTATCAACAGCAATAAATAAAAGATGAAAATTAGACCCAAGAACTGTTGTTGTAACAAAAATACCGGCGAATTTACATAGTATGCTATTTCTCCACTTTTCATCATTCTCAATGTAATTTTGATCATAGTACCGATCAACAACTGCAATTATTAATAAATATACACCAATTGAAATATCAGCTATATTTAATCCAGCATGAAGCATATGTATAGGCTTTTTATACATTATTATACGTAATATAAAAGTAAAAGAATTTCCAATAATACAAAATACAATCATTATCCATATTAGTCTTTTTAAGAAAGTTGAACCAATTAGATCAAGACAAGATTTAAATAATGCCTTTTTTGGTGTACATTCAGTAAGGCTAGTTATAATACTTCTAGCATTACAACATAATCTAAAGTTTGATGAATACAAAAATTTCAACTCTTTTAAACTACGTAAAAAATTTATTTGAGATTTTAAAT